GCTTCAAAGGAACTGAATAGTGGAACTCACGTATATCCTTTAGACTTATTATCCTAATGTCATCTGTAAACTGAAAGATTTCTGTTGATTAAAATGATTCTTATAATTTATCACTAACATAAACAATATTTTATTATTTATTTGTACATTTAAAACTGCGACTATCTTTTTCGTTTGAGAGCGCCCGATTTTTTTTATTAGTGTTGCTATATACTCGATAATAATCATTTTTTTTTGTTTTTTGTGTACTCAAAAAGTGAGTACACTATAGAATCGGTCAGTGTGTCCGTCCGTATACACGATAACTTTCGAAAGGAGAGTCAGATCGTGATGAAATTTTCTACACAGTTCAGTCTCATCAATGTCTCAGTCGAGTTCGAAGATGAGTCTGATTGGACGAGCTCTTCCTGAGTTATTGCTAAAATACTGATTTTTTCCCCTATGCTCCCTATGAGAAAATCGATCCTTCTCTGTTTCCCTTAAAACTTTTCCTATCATAGTCAATTAAAACCCCAACTATTATATGCCATTCGATAGAGAATTTCACGAGCTACAAAATGGTATATAAAACATAAGGAAACAAGGAAGCTAACTCACCTATTGCAAAGATAATTAAACGGAACTCGGTTCTGTTTTCGTCCACGCTCTATGTGATCTACAATTAGAGCTCTATCTTCCGATCACAGAGATGATAATTTGAGGTTTTCTAGGGTGGAGAACTTGAATCTGTGTTCTATTCGCCTCGAAATCTCATTGGTTGATCAGTAACCAATAGAAATCAAGTTATAGGAAAAACGACTTTCTTAGGGTAAATCAAGGTGAAGAGTTCAAATCTGAGCTCTATTCATCTCTAAATCCTATTGGTTGAGCAGTAGCCAATAGAAATCAAGTGTTTACAGAAAGGGTTTGCCAGAACAATTTTGATGTTCATACATTCTAGGGTGACTTATCTGTCTAATTCACTTTTTGAAGTACACATAACTCTCGGATTTAAATCCGAAGTTTCCGCATTTATTTTTTAATCACAAAACTGTCTAATTATGAAAGCAGAAATAGGAGGTCAAATATTGTACTCAACTATCGAAAACAAAATCAAACATAGAATTTCAATATTCTCTTTTTAATATAGTGACCCTAATATTGCATAAGTTTTTTGAAAACATCCAGTCATATATCATTTATCTATGAATATCATAACAATATTTACTTTCGTAATATGAGTTTATTTCACATAGATGACCAAGTATTTATTCTAAGATTAGCTGGGAGTAAGATTTGGATGCAGAGCCATCATTGAATGAGCGCATCTTCTTCGCATAAAAACTGTTGATAATTCTTTGAATGAATTAAACAAAAATGAACATAAAATACGAAGTCAGAAAATTTTTTGCTTACCGTTTAACGGTGTTACAATTTATTTATGTTTTTTCTAATCGTTCATGCACCACATTATGTAAAGTTCATTGAATCAAAAGCGCATTCCATAATATCAGGATCTCATTGATTGGCAATATATGTTGTAATGTTCTCTTTGGATGAGTCTGTCTCGACTTTAATGTGAGCTGTGATTCTAAAAATTTTATAACGAAGTGCTAGAGCCAGGAGAAGGCATGACTAAGAGTTTTCAAATGACTCGATCAAAGTTAACTCGAATTATTAACACCAAACTGAAGACTGAGACTAACGGATTGGGAAATATTTCCGTTACAAAGATTATATCTCCATTAATTCAAAGTAATTTTTCACCAAATTTTCGTCGCAGGTTACTCCAACGTCGGGCTTTCGAATGAGAGATCACACGAGACTGAACGTCAAAAAGTAGTTAAGATATGATCTGCACAATGGAATGATACTGTTGAGCTAATAACTCTAGTATACATCAACCGATCGAGGTTAGGTTGGAGTCTACAATCAGAATTCACTGAGTTCTGTTTATGATAAAAATACGAACTCAATTGCTTAAGGTTTAAATACGTAGTTTTCATCTAGGTGCGGAACTTTTTACGACCACTGTATTTATTCAGTGCAAAGATGCTCTTTAAGAATAGTATACCAATGGAATTAAAATATGAAAAACATTTCGTGAATTTTATATGGAAAACACGGAAAAAAATGGTGTTTCAGATGATAAAACAGATATAGAAATTGATTAATGAAATTGAATATTTTTATCAAGTAAATGCAATAAAAATAATTTTTTTTAATCAAAAGCATGAAACTAAATTGACGAAAATGTTGATTTTGATCCAATGGTTTTTTTATTTTTCAAGTCTCTGGATAGAATGATACCACGACGTTCATAATCTAGATAATAGAGAGAAAATATTGAATATTTTCAAACGAAAGAACGTTTTAACAATTGAATGATTTGAATAGCAAACATTGTTTTCGTTTAATATGATAGAATAAATTATAAATTGGAGGTTTTCTTTAAATATTTTTCTGTTTATTCTTCTTGTCAATTTAGTTTGAGACATTTTTCTCAAATTACACATAATAAATAATTTTAGGTTTCAAAGTCAACAGAAATCGAAATGTTGATGATTATTGATCAAAACACATTAAGTATTTAATGTTAAAAGGATGTTGAATGAGTGTGTTACGGGAAGAGATAAAATTCACATACTAACACCCTGATCAAGAATGCATTTTTTTTTCATTGAGTCAAATGATTATATTTTATTTTCATAAAATTAATTTCTATGTTGTTACTGTTATTTTTTTTATATTGTTAGTACAACAGTTTTATGTGAACTCTACACTTTTAATTCAAAGACTTCTTTCCATTAAAATTGCCATATAGTTCTGTTGTGTCATAGACATATTGTTCTTGGAACATTTGGAAGTATCAATATGTAATGGTGAATAATCTTTGGATATTGTTTGAGATGGCAAATGAATATCATTCGCTGTAATTTCAAATATTCCAAACTTGTAATTAATAATAGTCAAAATAATAATCAATAGAATTAACCAGTAGAATGGTAAACAGTGACGTTGACATTGAATTAAACGACTTGGAATCGATCTAACATTGGATAAATTAAAGCAAGATAATATATTTCGAAATCGAGTCCCGAATAAATTTTGTCCGCGATGTCTTCGATGACCTCCTCCTAAAACAATATATTTAGAACTATTAAATAATTGATATTTCTTGCCAAACAAAAAAGAACATTCAAATAGAATGAAATCATTAATATTCAAATTTTCTGGCTTCATCTTAACATTTTTCGATCTGAGAAAGATATCGATTTCGAATGATTGCTAAAGAAGGAAGTCCTATCATTTTTTTTAGATACGTAACAACAATATTAATTAGTCTAGTGCTCTTGTTAACTAAATATTAAATAGTTTCGTACTATTTTATTACTAATTTCTTTTGTTACTTTTTAATAAGTTAATAACAAAAAATAAATACAACACGATATAAATATGAAAAGTAGGTAGGAATTTTGTAGATCTTTTCAGAAATTTTGAGTTTTTGGGACAAAGAATGTAGCAGAGAATTGTATCTCATTGTATTTGTTCATTCTTTGTTTATAGTAACTGAACTAAAGATCTTCCATATTACCTTCTAATCTTTGCTATACAATAGTGTTACAAGACACAGATGTGATTATCTATGAAATACTGTCTTTTTTTTATTTATTAGATGGTATGATGTTTTATTTTATAGATTATGTATCTCGTCAGCTACTCTTTTATATAGACATGTACAGGATTACATTTTTACTCTATTTCTTTTTTGTAATCTAAGAAATGGTATTGAAATAAATTTTGACTGTTTACTTAAGAAGAAAATGAATTTAATTCGTTTTAATTAGCAAAATGAAACGAAAAATACATAACAGACATCTTCTATTAACAAAAATACGAATACTTTTCGATAGATATGAACTAAACTTAATTATATGACATAATGAATGTTCTAAATTTGGGAGACTCTATTATTTCTCTTAATAAGATGCAGTTATTAAGATCGACTGATGTTAAAAAATTAAAATTTAATATTGTTATAATACTCTAGAGTATGAAAATAGAAATACACACGATTGTTAGAAATTTTCTAACTATCTTATTTGATGTATTACTTTATTACGGGTTTTTTTTTATCATTTACATTTTTCTTGTTTTACAAAACAACTAAAATAGTTTGTTTTCATTATCAAAACGTGCTTAAATTTGTAACAATTATGTAAATATACGTGTGCACTCAAGCGTAATGTATAATAAATCAGAATACGATAAATGAAAGTAAGCTCAATAAAAATCGGTCATTTATTATACAGATTAAATACAATATAAACTTACTTGATGAAGAAGACCCTGAACGTCTTTGAGTAAATGCTGAAAGATTGTTTGTTGTGATTTGATAAATAGCGGATGAGCGGCGTGATACACTTTTGTATTGTTTGCTTCGTTTCAATGGTGACATCGCTACTATTAACTATGAAACTAACTCGTTTATAAAAAATGAAACAAAAATAACAATATATTCTTGATTAGTGTCACCTGTATAATAAATCACATGTATCTTCAATACACTAGAAAAAGGAAAAAAACACAATAACTACGCAATTTTTGAACGACAAATCAAATTTCGCCAGATATACACATTTTTCTAAAATTTGTTTTCATTAGGTTAAATAAAAAATAAATAATGTCCCATAGGCTTATCGTCCATTGGGGCCGGCCGCGGTTATTATTACTAGTTTCCACATGCAGCCGGGTTCTATTGTCTTTTCTTTTTACAGACGGCGGTATCTGCATCCTCTTCCGTCCAACATACTGACTAACGATGTAGTCAGCACGAATGACTCATGTAGAATGAATCATTTGAGACCACTTAGCCGTTAATGACTTGTCTAGGGTCATTCTATGGATAATGTTACTGAAGTTTGAACACAGTACCTTGTGGGTACGTGTCAAGCAACGTAACTACTCAACCATGGTGGCTTCTTTCATTAGCTTATGTTACTTAAAGAGATTGAAGACTTTATTATATCGTCAATTGAGAATCTCATATAGTTCAATTCAAGATCTTTTGAAATATTGTTTCATATCATTTTATTTATGCATATTGTTGAAAATGAATCTTTACACAATTGAAATATTCTTTGTATTCATATAGAACAACTCTATATCATGATCGTGCACAACAACCAATAATAACTTTTCTCTATAGTTTCAAACAATACATCTGTAAAGACGATATTTTGATCATATTGCATACATTATTTCAATGGTTCATATAATTGAGATTGTTCATTAAATGTTCAGTACAATAGTCTGTCTTTCAATGATCCTTAAAGATACTTGAAATTCCAAACAAACGACATATTGAATTGTTTTGAATAAAATAAACATGACAGATTGAGTATCAGTTGAAACATTGATAAGTGTTATGTTGGTTAAAATAACATTATTCATTACATCGAATTCGATTGACTTAACAACTATAGAATATCTTGCTGTATGGATCATTTTTTCCGAGTAAGTTTAGAATTTGTCTGTAAGCATTCATCGAAAATGTTTTCATTCATAATATTGTCAAATTTGTTGTTATAACCTATATGTGATCATGACATTCAATTTTATATTAATTTTGTTGTTTTATTTAAGAATTGTTTTACGAAACAAAAATTTCAATTGATTTTGTTGTGAAAAATGTGAAGTTTACATGTAGTCCAGAATCAAGTAATAGGAATATGTACATATATTCCGGTTAATAACGATCCGGTTGATTTCAGTCAAAAATTAATTACATATTCTTCATTCAAAATCTTCATTGACCAACATTTGAGTATCATTAGCGTAAATCGATACATCATTTATTCACCAATAGGTTGAATCATTTTGGAGTTGAATTACAAATGAAACGGAACCACAAATTATCAATGTTCAATGAGAATATTCGGCAGATAATGGATTACTGATGGTATTTGTTGTAGTCCAAATTGTACTCGAATTGGTAGTTGGTGATCAAGGTGGAATTGATGTGGTTGGTAAAGATTGGCAAAAAATATATGAAAATTAATAGAATTCTTTCTACTATCTTCTTTAATTAAAAAAAAATACAGTAGTAAACAAAAATCTCGTCCCTAATAGAATGTCTATACTGTTCTATAACTTTCCATAGAACTTATGCTATACTCAAATATTTTTGGATTGATTGAAATAACTTTCTTTGAAATTTATGAATTACTATAAATTCGTATAGCCTATCTTCGAATCATGCTGAAGAAAAAACAACAAATGAATGTTGAAATTTTTTTCTTATGTTTATGTTTGAAAATCATATGAATTTGCTAAACTATTAGTTCCTTAGAAATAAAAAACATCAAATGCAGTTTAAAATGTAAAAAGTACATTGAAAAAAAAAGGACATTTCCTTTTCTTTTACAAAACTGGATGTTCGTAAAGCTGTAGTATTTTTTTTATTTCGCATATGTCTCAGCTTAGATAAATGATAAAACCTTGAATTTTTTTTTTCAAAAAATGCGCCATGAAAAGTTGTATGATTGAATCCTTTTTATCTGTTCTAATAATTTTTCCTATACTCAAAATGAACAACTTTTATAGCAGTATCACTTCTCATCATACTGAAAATGTTAGAAGACTTTTTTGTTCTATATATATATATATATCGACTTGAGAAAATGCTGGAATATTGAATTTGCTTTTAAAAGATGCGCTGTCGAAAGCTCTACAAAACTTGTATAGACCAAATCCTATAGCAACTCGAAAAAGTTTTCGAAATATTTTCTTTATGATGAGAAGTGGCACGTTGTTCATTTTGAGTATAAGAAAAATTATTAGAACAGATAAAAGGGATTCATTCATACAGCTTTTCATGGCGTATTTTTTGAAAAAAAAAATTCAAGGCTTTATCATTTATGTAAGCTGAGATATGTGTGACATAAAAAAAATACTACAACCTTATGGACACCCAGTTTTGCAAAAGACAAAAAAATGTCCTTTTTCTTCCAATACACTTTTTATATTTTAAACTGCATTTGATGTTCAAAATAAATATACCAAAAAATGCAGCAAGTTTTGGACTTTCTCCCTATATATAAGTAAGTTAATAGATAAAAACATATAGTAATAAAAAACCAAAAAAAATCAAAAGATATAATTTCAATTGTTCTCAACTATATACAGTTGATATACATCTGTTTTTTATTATATTTTCATTTTTATGATTATCAATTTCAAATACTTCTTTTTTTTTTTTTGGTATGTTACTTTCTGTTCTTCTCGTTGTGATTATGAAAAGAAACATTTATTGATGAGATTCGATTTCATAAGAGTTTTTCATTCCATATTTTCTTTGTGTCTTTTTTTTCTTTTTTTGCAAAATGTATCATCGAAAGAAATACTGTTATAATGAGCAAATATTGATCATATCCAACAACACAACATCAACGAGTTTAAAGTAGACATTTATACACTCTTACCAAACGAACTGATCAACGAATAGACTTTTCGATTTACTTTTCTCTAGGCACCATTAAATCACATATTTGAAGGGAGAGAAAAAGAGAAGGTTAAGTGTTTGTTATTGTGATCTGCATAGGTAAGTATGATTTATGAGATGCATCATATATATCATCACACATACGTGTACAAAACCACATTAGAATTAAAGAATTCAGTTCTGTTTTTAGTTGCAACCACAACGTATTCAAGCCATAAACAAAAGCAAATAATGTAAGCTTTTATAATATATCGATAGTAAAAAAACAAAGTATCAAATCTTCTTGTGAAAGAAAAAACAAAGAAATTTTTCTGCGTAAGAATATATTTGAAGATAATAATACCTTTTTTATTTTCTATATTAGAAAACTAACATGGATATTGAATATATAATAACAGAAACTATTTATCAAAATGGTACTGGTCAAGTAGCAAAAATTGATTATCAATTTGATGAAACACTTAATATTGATTCATCAACATCAACATCATCAACATCGAGTATAGCACGACAAAATAAAGAAAAACGAAATCGTCAATATGATGTAACAATAACACGTGAACAATATCAAACATTATCTAGACAAATATTAAATGCATTATCATTTGATGCATTTGTTAATGTTTTACGTCCATTTATAATGGGTTATTATACAAATGGTGAACTTGAACGTGCTTTTTATACATTAGATCGTGATCGATCAGGTACAATACATATAAAGGAATTGAGTGCATTTTTACCTATATTAAATGAAACAATAAATAATGATGCTTTAAATGCTTATGTACGAAAAGTTGATGAAAATTTTGATGGTAACTTAAATTATGATGAATTTCGTACACTTGTTTTACGTGGTATTGGTCGAGATATTATTTGTAATCATATATAAAGAAGAAGAAAAATAAGAAGAAGAAAAATCAGAACATAAACTGTTTACTTTATTCTTTTTTTTTCTTCAATTCTGATCTAATATACTTCTTCTTTTTTGTTTTTTGCTTATTCTAATCAAAAAAAAAATTTTTTTTTTTTCTAATTATTAATAAGTTTCTTTTGCTTATTTTTTCTTTGTGCATTACAATAAAAAAATTTCATTCTTTTAACATATAAACGAAACTATTTTCATTCAATATCAAAGTTTATTTATGATAAACTAACAAAAGATTTCATAGGATTGACATTGAAAAAATATTATCAATGAAAATTGATCACGTTAAAACTGAAAAATATGTACTTAAGATTTAATAAAAGTATTTGCAACATTATAGAATAGAATTAATCAAAAGTTTTTTATTTCAATAAGTATATAAGCTGGAAGTCATTGTTGCTTATGTATAATTAATTTGTTTCGAAATTTCTATAAAGACTTTTTTTTTTCACATTGTATTATTTTACTTACAGTACTCAATTTAATGATGAGAAGTTGTTTCAATGGATTTAATTTCCTTAACCTGGTCTACTGAAGAAATAAGACAAATACATGAAATGATAGTAGATGTGCAATACTTGACGTATGATACATAAATGGACTAAAATTTCTTGAAGTAGAACAACTATAAGCACAAAAGCTACATTTTATTATCGATTTCAGAAGTTAAGGCATTCAAATTGTTTTTTGAATGAAGAAGATAGAGACTTGCGATTTTCAGTGTATCTTTGAAAACTACAATAAAAGTCTATTGACTTTTTTTTTACATATTGGGAACTGAGTCGACTCATCTATGTTTCGAATTTTTTTTTTTGCGTCGAAAAATTCACTCTTAGTCTCCCTGATGGGTAGGTTAAAAAATGAACTCAATCAAAACGCCATTTTTATTGTTTAATCATTTGCCATTTTACGTTCCACTAGTATTTTACAAGCTTTGAACTTGCTTTCCATTGTCTAAGTGACTTTTTACTTCAGTTCATTTTTTGACCTACCCTTCAGTTTTCGATGATCATTAGGAATATGTTTAAAAAAAAGTCAATAGACTGTTATGGTAGTTTTCAAAAATCTAGCATAGTTTTTTGAGACGATCCTCCGAACTTTTTTATAGAAAAGATTTTGCTTATGGAAATATGCTTCTAGATCTTGACTATCAAACATTGAGAACCGCAGATCTCTATCTTCTTCCTATGAAAAGTTATTCAAAAAACAACCGAGTGCCTTGACTTCTGAAACCGATAACAGTGCTATATAGTAACCTCAAAATTCGTAAAACACAAGTGATAAAATATTCCAGAGCAAAAATTATTTATGACAAAATCAAACTACATGTTTGTAAACTTGGTTTTTCTTTTTTACTATCATCATTATTTTTCGGTTATATTATTTATCAGATCCAATACTATACATGTTATAATTCAACAGAAATTTTGAAAACAAAATTGATTGTGTTTGATCGATAATGATTATTATGTCAAATATTTACTAAAGTAAAATTATGAATATATATAAAAATTTTGCGTATAATAATATTATATCAAATTAAAGACATTTTGTTTGATAATTTACAAAATATCAAATTCACAAAACGATTAGATTTCATATTTGATCTCTTTCTTTTGAAATATTTATTATTTTAAGAGAAAAATATTTGTTAAAATGAAAGTTTCGAGAAATTAATACGAACATAAGAATTCTTCATAATTTTTTTCTATAGTTCAAAATCTCATGAAAATATTGACTTATTGAATAAAGTAACAGTGTATTCAGACGAAACTTTGTCTAAAAGCGATATCAGAGAGTCTCCGAGTCCCGTTACAAACATGATCAGGGATTGATTACGCTTCACAAGTTTTTTCTGGACTTGCGAGAGTTCCTTCTCAATTTAAAAATCGCTTTTGAGTTCATACTCAGTGCATTCCTACAGAATTATAGCCGTTTTACTGAAATTTCACCCGTAGGATAGGCCTACTTGTAACTAGCTCATAAGATTCAATAATCTCATGTTTCTTGGACATTCAATATCTCATAAAGGACATATTCTAGTTACAAATATGCCTATCCTATAGGCTAAAATTTTAGTAAAACGGCTATAACTCTGTAGGAAAGGTCTAGAAAATCTTATCCTTTTGCAATGTCATAATACTTTATTGGCGCTCTATCTTATGCACAGAATCCGAATTTAAAAGCAATTTTCAAATTGATAATGAGTCATTTTAACTTCTGAATCAGTGTTTCTAATAGAAATCTAAAACAAAAATTCAAATGACATTTTATTTTTGCCTTCAAAATGTAAAATGATCCTCTATTTTTTTTTTAAACAAAATATTCAAGATATGGATCATTAGAATTAGATTAACCCTATGACTCCCGGCGACGCATATATGCGTCCAGATCTATTTATCGAATCAAGGCATCAGTAGCATATTTTTTAACCATCTAGAAAAGGTTTTTTTTATCGTATATTAGATGGTATCATACGAGTATATTTCCTTTCGGCTTGATATCATCAGAGAGGTTTTGACAAAGTTCGAACCGCAAAGACCTTCTCCTCTGCATTTAACTACTCGATATTTTCTTTCGCTCATTCCAGTCTTAGATGCGATTCACAATATACGTATCCTAACTGCAATATACCTCTATGTATTGTTGATTCTTTCAAAGATTATCATACAAAGATGAACTATTAATGCGTTTTTTAATACAGAAATGTAATTCTCTTGTGAAACAAATAAAAAATCATATTTAAACATTACTTTTAAAAACTATCTAGACTAATAAAAAAATAAAAAAATTCAAAGTTTGCATACAATGAATAGAAAAGTACAAAAAAAATTTCAGCAAATGTCAATTTAACATTTTGTTTTCATGAATAAAGTGTAAAATAGAGTGTCAAATCAATATCACAAGAGTCTTAGACATTTTATCATCATGGTAGGACTCTTGCTGTTCGAAACACTGTTCTAAATGGAAATATAATTCGATAAGATAAAATCTGGAATGATATTATTGGTCAATATCATACCAATAAAATAGTGTTAACATTAATTTAATGCATAGAGGAAAAAAAACTTGAAATCGAAGTCATTTACAATTATTTTATTTTTTTAATAAAATATTTAATAAGAAAAAAAATTTTTATTAATAAAAACAAAAATAAGATAAACAATCAACAATTAGAATATACAAACGAACAATTGTTGTTTCATTTATGTGTTCCAAGTCTCATTTTATTGTTCTTCTATAAAATAGTCCAAAGATCAATGTCGTCAATTTTTATTGAAGGTATGTATAACAAAATAAATTTTTTTTTTCTCATTTTCCATTTTCTATCAAATCCAAATGTTTATATATGATTTACCACAAAAAATTATTAAAAAAAAAAAAAAAAAAAAAAATTTTTCAAAATGAGAAAATTTTGTTAACCCATCTGTATCTTCATTCTAGATTCCTCCGTTATTATTGGGAAATATCTGCTCCTGGCCTTCGCATCCATCTTCTGATCTCCCTCTCCTAATTCCTTGGGGTCCGAGATTTTCACCTTAATGTCAATTTGATTGACTTGGTTTAAAGAGGTGACATATGTGTTCCTCTCTAATTATCACACTATCATCGAATGATATTCTCTCTCCTTTCGAGAAAAAAAAAATTTAAGGCTAATTATATCTGTTTTTAATATATATATATATATATTTATTATTGTTTTTTCATTTTTATTTTGCTAAACTTTTTGTTTTATTTTGTATTCAAAAAAAAAAAAGAAAAATGATATTAAAAATGAAATTTTTCTTAATCATATAAATAATTTTCTTAGTCAATCTTACAGATCCCTTGGGACATTTACATTCATCAAATTTATACATTTACTTACCATGGAAACGAATCTCAATACAAATAATAAACGTTTAGCTAATGATGGTAATGATAATCAAGATAATACGAATACAGTTAAACGAACACGATCGACTAAAGTTGATTTAAGATTTTTATTGGCTTCACGTATGAAAACGAAAAAAAAAATTTTTATAACAAAAACAAAACATTGTTTTTTTAAATATAGGTGATGCTGGAGCAATAATTGGTCGACAAGGAAAAAATATTCAAATGTTAAGATCTAAATATAAAACAATCATACAAGTTCCGGTAAAATATTTTTCAATAATTTAATTCTTTCGGAACAGTTCAAATCTATTGATGTATACTATTTATCATTGATATAATTAGTATTATGTCTCTGTGTTTTGATTTCTGATAATCTCGAGAGATATCCCTAATATTTATAATAAAATAATTTATTTTATTTGAATTTTTGATTTTAGGATCAAGATGGACCTGAACGTATTTTAACAATAGCTGGTGAACTTGAACAATGTCTTGATTGTCTTACAGATGCATTGGCAACAATGGCTGAAAATCAAAAATTACGTCAAGATGCAAGTGAATTACGTGCTCTTGTTCATACATCACAAGCAGGTATATTTGTTTATATATTTTATTTGATTAAATAATAAAAATTTTTTTTTGTTCTTTTGTTTAGGTGCTATTATTGGAAAAGGAGGTGAACGTGTTAAAGAATTAAGGTATAAGAAATAGAAAAAATATGTTTTGTTTTTTTTGTAAATTGAAATGAATTTAGAGCTCGACATGGACTTGAAGTAAAAGTATTTACTGAAACATGGTAAATAAGATTTTATTTTATTTTTTTTTATGAATGAAATTTTTATTTTTTTATTTTTCAATTAAATAAAGTCCAAATTCAACTGATCGTGTTATTTTATGTCGAGGTGAACAACGAGCTATACTTAGTTGTCTTCGTGACATTTTTACACAAATTGAAAAAATTCCACCCCGTGGTCCTATTCGTCCATGTATAATAAGAAAATTAATTTGTTTTTTTCTTTTAAATAAATTTATCAATATTTAGATGATCCTTCATGTTATGTCGAACATCAAATTCAAGGCTATGGTAAAAAATAAAAAAAGGACATATTTCTTTTAATAATAAATATATTTTTCAGGTGGTTTTGCACATGATGATACAAGTGTATATGGTGATCGACGAGTTCGTGGTGGTGGTGGTGGTGGCGGTGGTGGTGGTAGAGGATATAATAATTTTGATAATTGGAATATGAATAATATGCGAGGTGGAGATGGTGGTGGTGATGGTGGTATGTATAATGATGATTATAGTGGTTCATCGAATCAAAGTTTCTATCCACCACCACAATCTATAATGAGTAGTGGTAGTCAAGGTCCAATGCGTCCTTTAATCAATTCATTTTCAGAACCTCCTGCTACTCAAACACAACAAGTAAGATATGAAAAGATTTTTTCTTTTTTTGAAATTTTTATTTAGGTTACAATTCCACATGAGCTTGCTGGCGCTATAATTGGTTCACGCGGTACACGTATATCACAAATTCGTCAACAATCAGGCGCATCAATTAAAATTGATGATCCATTACCGGGAACTAATGATCGAATAATAACTATTATTGGTACTCCGAATCAAATATCTCAAGCTCAATATTTACTTCAAACTGCTGTTCGACAATCAGGTCTTTATCCAGGATGATTAATATATAAAGAGAAAAAAAATAAACTTATATATGAACATGTGTGTATCCTCTTTGCAAATAAAAAAAAAAAAAAAGAAAGATAACCAAAGTTTGATTTATTGATTGATTGATTGATTGATTGATTTTTTTTTGTTCCGTTTTATTTGTTTGTGTATAGTGATGCACTAATCTCTAGTTCATTTTGTTTTTTGTTTGTTCTACAAAAAAAAAGGAAAGGAAAGTTTTATTCCCACTTTTTGTTTTTTTTTTTTGGTCTATTCATGATTATCAAAAATAGATTTGTTCTTATGTGAAAACAATATTTATCGTGCATTTATTGAATATCGAATGTTTTAGTTACATTTTCGTATTTCTTTATTATTTAATATTCGAGGGTATATACTTGCAAGTCTTATATCTCGATGAGATTTTGTTTAAAACTCAATAGAAACTTCAGTTGTTTTAGGATTTTTATTTGAATATCATGTAGTATCTATAGACAAAGAATTCATTGATATCGGAAGGAAATATTTCAACCGTGACGACAAATTTTCTGTAGGGGAAATAGTTACAGTCCTTGTGACGATGTAAAAATTCTATTATGAAAACATGATGTACATATCAGATATACTGTCATCAATATACTATCGTCAATCTTGATAATGAAAATAACTTGACACTATCATAAATCAACGTCAGAATTAGACAATGATATTCGAAAATTTCTTTGCCTATCAAAACATGTCTGGAATAAAAAAACAAGATTACTATTCTTTTTTTTTGCTTTTTGCAAAATATAATCTGGTTACTTAATTGTGATTCTGTCACGTTCGAAATGTTTATAAAAAAAAAAAGTCAATTAGTTCTTTGGATATAGAGAACTCATTAATAGAATCAGAAAACATCTTGTTTTTTTTTTTGTTTTAATCAAAAATGAAATATAAGGTATTTTCGTGATAGAATCATCTTCATCAATGGACTACTTTTCAAATGTAAATAATAATTTCTTTTCATTTTCTTTTTTTATTTAATAATATTAATAAAATGATAGATTTTTCATCAAATCATTTATACATATGAGCATTGAATTATTGATGTTTTCAATTTGTATTGTACAGATTCTCTTCAGAACCGAATTTCTATTGCAATCAAAATTTTTGATTGTATAACAATTATGATGTAGCTTCTCTAACGATTGTGAAAGAATTTTCAAAAAAAAACAAGCATAAATCAACAATCAAAATTCTATCTTCTGAATAGCTTATAAGTCTATTTTCTTTTGAAAATGAATCTATCCTATAAGGTGACTATAGTAAGTTTTCAATTATCAGATGTGCATCCGAATTGCCAATGGAAGATCTACAAAACTACACAAGTCTTAGATTTTTATATTTAATGATTCAGAAACTATAGGTATTCTAGTCAAAATTCTCGTCCGATTTTTCACAGCAATTGCTATGAAAAACAATACATTTTTATTTTCTTTTTTTTCTGCGTATGTCGAACGTGACCATTTTTTTCCGACACTTTTTTTATGAATCTGATTAAAAAATACTTTAGCAAACATCTTGAGAGAGCTTATAATATATATAATTCGATGCAATTTCATCTTCTCATTCCAATGGTAAAAATCGCAGTACTCTATCTTGTTTCTATCAAAAGTTCTTTTTGAAACAGGTATTAATTTTAAGAGACAGAACAAAATTAATATTATTTCTTCAGTTCTTTCACTTTTACGAACTATAAATTTTTCGACTATGATTCTTTTGTAGAGTGACTTCTCTATAAAAAATTGTACTATGTCTGTAGATAGCAAGATGACAAAATCAATTTTTGTGGTTTGAATTTAAATTGTAGCCAGCACTAAAGCTGCTATAAATCTGCATTTTGAATTCTGATTATAAGCGAATAGTCGAATCCATCCTAAGTGACTTCTATTATGATTCCATGTCTTTTAGATTGACAAAACTACAAATAAATTTGGATCGAAACAATGTTAATTTGATAAGTACTAGCGAGCAATGAAATAGTACTTTTCAACAAAACTTCATAATCCCGCTTAATTCCACTTAAAACTTTGCATAAAAAATTTTCTACATGAGACTAGTTCATTTTGAAAGTTTCATTTTTTATCATGAGAGATACGAATGTTCAAAATTCTTTTAATGTGATACAAATCAAATTTTCTGTTTATATTCATATCTTATCACATAAACAACTAAAAAGATTGAAACATTTTGACAATGAATAAATTCCATTGAGAATATTATTGAATCGATCTTTAATGTGACTACAAAATTTTACCGAAAAATTCTGTAAAGAATCTATTTTTCAAAAATCTTAAGATTGAAACAGGCTCAGTAATCAGCATCGAGTACGAAGTATAATTCAACAAAATATCAAGTTATTAGCCACAGTGATTATTCCTGGTTCTGTCCACTATGCATAGAAGGGACAAAGACTCTCTGATAACACTTCTGAAGGCTCTTTTTCAGAGGAACTCAATCGATGGTAGAGAAGCTAAGTCTCAGTTTGGTTACATCATTGATACGTTCCACAATTTTGAAATCAAAATTAAAGATATATATGTATAGAGAAATGAAAAACCAAATATACCATATTGTAGAGCTTTTTGAGGTGCATCAAATGGTATATAGTAAACTTTGTTTTCGTAGGACTTTGAAGGACCTAAAGTCAATCTGCGGATAGACAACTGCATACACTCATACCCACACTGACAAGATGACCGGAAATACTACATATAGAAAGTTGTAACCCGTCAAAAATTCTACAAAATCGTATGTGAGAAAAATACTTTTGACTAATACCACGGACTACAATATTCACAAACTTATCATGCTTGGGTGTGGATGTGTAGTCGTCTATCAGTAAATTGATTCTAGTTTCTTTAAAATCTTATGACAACAGGAATTGCTACATACTATTCGATGCGCCTTAAACAGCTCTACAACATGATATATTTGATTTTTCATTTCTCAATAGATCCTCTTATCCGAAAAGATCTTTTAAATTTCGTAGCCAAAACTTTCGGTATGCCCTAAATACATTATTGATAAAGAATTTGTTCATAAATATACACTTTATTAATACCTATACAAAAAAAAAAAACCAAGAACTAATATAATTCTTTTATAATCATATAGAAAAAAAACAAATTTCATCTATGATTGAGCAACAACTGTAATATTATTTTGTTTTTTACAAATAAATATTTTCAAAAAAATCCAACCAGTAAATAAATATAATGGTACCATACAATGATTAAAAATATTTATTGTTGATGATAATTGTTTATAAATAAATGTTTTATATAATAAATTATTAAACATAATTAAACAAATAATTAATGGTATATGTGTAAAAATTTTATGTATAATTAAACGATATATATATGTTGGTGTTAGACTATTACGTTGTTTATATTCAAACCATAAACGAAGTAATACAATAAGAATAAAATATAAATGTATAGCATTAGTTAAAAATAATGGAAGAAATAAATAAAAATCTGTTATTGAATATAAATGAAAATCATAACGTAATACTAATAGAATTGAAAAAATTAACCAACCAAATAGAATAAATAATAATTCAATAGGACGAATACTTAACCAAGAATATAATTCTGTAAACGAAAGCATTTTTTTTTTTTTTTTTTGTTGCTGTTCAATAACAAAAAGGATAAGATGTTGTTATTTGTTTCCTATGATGATTCATGATTAATATGGGTAAAATATGGAAGAAAAAGTTGTCAAAAAAAAACAGCAAAGGATTTTTTTCCATTGTTAAATAAAAATGGATCCTTCTGGTGTTGTTCGTCGAGTTGTTAATAAACCACGAGATGTTATTCCTCGAAATCCACCAATTAATCCTGATGTAAAGAGTTTTTGTCTTTTTTTTTAAAGACTTTTGTTTTGTTTTTTTTTTGTATTAGACATTATTAGATGTACCAGAATTTAATTTTATATATAATGATTCTGATTCAATACATGCTGAAATAACTGGTAGAAATTTGAATTTGATTTAGAATTCTTTATTTATTTATTTATTTTTCCTATAGAGTTATATACTTATTCAGAAGAACCAGAATTTGTTTGGAATGCTGAAGCATTTAATATCTTTTTTCAAGCTAAATGTATGAGATAAATATAGAGTTTTCTTTTTTTTTTTTATTTTCTTTTTGCTTATTATTATTGTTGAATTTTTTGTTTTGAATAGATGGTGAAAATAAAAAATGGAAAGATTATTCAAAAGATGATAAAATTGATTTTATTGTTTATTTATTGGAACAATGTGAACTTGTTGATAGAACTCGAAGATGTCAAGCAATGAGAGCTATTCTATATCTTGTACAAGGTAATGATTTTCATATTTATTTGAAAATATTGATATTTAATAACTTTCAAATGTTAATACAATCTGACCGATAGAAAAAAAAAGACTTTTTTTTGTTATGTGAGACTTTTACCTTATATATATATATCTAAATATGAAATTCATATTCAATAAAGATGTTTTTATATCGAGAAAAAAAAACGAGTTTTATTATTTGGAAATTTGAGGCTTTTCTAGATATTGATGTTGAGAATGGAGTGATATTATGCCGAACAATATTTCCGTAAAAGCGAAAGATTTTTTTTTCTACGAATCGAAAAACACAGTACGATTATTACTAGTGAGAGCCTGTGCATACTGCACGGATACTTTTTTTTTTGGAAAGTTTCATATCTGTCCTTTAGCCTTGATTCGGTAATAGACAATCAGACAGTTCGCATTATATATATCGAGAGATCTTATACTCTTGTGCTATTACCTCTTATAACCTTATTCCTTTATCCCTTATATTCCATGCAACCTCATCTACTTATCCGCTATACCCTCATCTCCTTATAGTCTTTTAGTTTTATCCCTTTATCCTTATCTCCTACCCCTTATAGCCCTTGAAGACCTATGGATACCCTCATATAACAGCTCTTGAGGGCCTATTGGTATCTCCATATGATAGGACTTGAGGACCCAAGGGTATCTTTACTAACTAACAACATAAATCCTTCCATTATAATGGATGATACAAAAGTTCTACATTAGTTTTGTTAAAGTTCTCGACTACAAAACTGTGTAAAAATATTTCGTTGAACATATGGAAAGCTGAAAAGCCTTAAGAACATGTTTGACTAGAAAAGTACCTTTTAAATTCCTATAAAATCAGATACGAATTACAAAACCATAGGTTCCATAGGAAATAGTTTTATTAAACACTTGATTTTATATCTACACAAATAGAGTTTTCTAGTCAAACATGTTCTTCAGCCTTCGACAACTTTGTTCTTTCTAATAAGAAAACTATCAAGTCTTCACAATGAATTGTTGTCATGCTATATTGAAAACAAAATTGATTCAAAATTTTTGCACCATTTGTTAAACAGGCTCGTAGAGAATTAATAATCTCCTCTCTATTGCATGGAAGAGTTTATATCATGTAAACTGTGAGGGAATTCTCATCTTTCCCGACTAATGAACACATTATAAGAAGGTGAAATCATCTTTTTGCGTATAAAAAAAACCTCAATTTTATGCTTAAAAAAAAAGCCAAAAAGTGCAATTTTCTTAAAATCAGATTTTTAAACGAAAAATTGAAGTTTTTCTACCATTTTCTTTTAGACGATTCTACCAATTGGGCTCGAACTTTTTTATAAGTACTTCGATCAATTTGGGATGTGTGTTTTTTTTCTCTTGAAAATGTTATACCTATCAAATTTGGCAGATTTGTTCCTAGTTGCCACAGAAAAAAATTTCAGCCCTAAATAACGTCGTATGGATGTTTGCGAGAGAGAAAACTTCAGGTCATTTTTGACTCTTGATCTTTCAGAAGAAAGTTCTTGTAGAGATAGATTTCATTTATTGTGAAAATTATAATTTATCAAAATTGATTTTAGGTGTATTTTATCAATGTTCTGATGTTGATGAATATATGTTAAATGCTAAAGAAAATGTTTTATTATTATATACATGTGATGGTGTTCATATATTTATGGATTTATTTAATATGGAATTGAATCAGTATATTGAATATTGTTTTGTTTGTAGAAGTTATTCTTCTTCTTATTATTTTTTCTTTCTAATTTCTAGTCTATGTAATGAGAATAATATAAAAACAACAAATAAAAATTTAAGTGATAATCAAGAAATGAGGTAAAGAAAATATTCTTTTATTTTCATTTTATATTATTCTTTTTTTTTGTTTTTTTATATTAGAGTTATTATTAGTATACTTTATACAATGATTGAATTTGCACGACAAATGAATGAAAATATAGATGAACAATGGAAAAATTTTCAAGAATTATTAAAATATGAATTATGTAAGAAGATGCACATAATAAAATTTTATCTTTCATTGATTTCGTTATAGTTTAAATCAGGTGATTTCGAACTTACAAAAAGTATTCATTTAGATTTTTTTTTTATTGTTGAGAAAATCAAATATTTCCTCGTTTTACTAGTAAAAGAGTCTTTTTGTATTATCAAAACTCAATTGAAAAATAAAATCAACATGAAAACCCCACATCGGATCACACATATTTTAGCAATATTACTTTTCTACGAAAAAATATCCTTGTACTTTTCCTCAGTATTTTTCTTCTGAAATTTCGTCTGTGGTCGTGGTTGATTCAAATGAGATAAGATATTCGGTCTTATCTTTTGTCACAAAAAAATGATATAGATTTACAAAAATGTCTACAAATACATGCTATAAACCTATATTTATTGATAGTGGTTTTTTACATTACTTATTTTAAATCGAAGAAAAATTTTTTTTTCTACTCAATTTTCGATGCTGAATTAGAAAAAAAAATTTACAATAATCGAAAGAAGTCCCACTATCGGTTTTGTGGAACTCACATATATTGTCGAAGAAAATAGTGAGTGTAAGTTTCAAATCGAGATTTTGCGGCTCCCCCTCCCCTAGATCCCCATTACAGACTGTTACAAACAAATCAATTAATTATTTGTAACCAATTCTACGAGTTCTATCAAATCATATATATAAATCAATGAAAAATAAAATTCATTCGAATTTTGCATTATATTCGAATAGTAAATATTTTTATTATTTCTTAATAGCACATCCAAATGATAATAATGAATTATTTGCTAGTACATTATATCATGCAATATGTGTTTTTTGTAATGCACCTTCACCACCATTACCTATTCGAAAACTTCTTTTACTTCTTTGGAAAGTTCTATTGGTTTGTATTCTATATATATATATATATTCTTTTATAATTAAATATTAATATTGATTTATTTTTATTTGAAATAGTATACTCTCGGTGGTATTGATGATGCATTCGAACAAAAAAATATAGCTCGACGTGAATATGATCTTGAACCTATTGCTGAAAATCCAGCTAAAGTTATTGCAAGAATGCCACCAATTTCACCACCATTAGCAGGTGCTGAATGTTTAGAAATACAAGGTCAAACTGATGGTGGAAGTAGTGCTCGACGAGCTAAACGACAAGTAATTTTTTATGATAAATATCATTCATGATCTTCAATATTTTTCTTAAATAGAGTTTTACAAAACAATCAGCTTTAGATTCAGATATTGTTAGTGATGATGGTTCAACAAGTGGAAATAATACATCAACTGATGATGATACAACAACAATTATACCATCAACTTCATCACTTAGTTCATCAGAATCAATGACATCATTAGCTAGTGATGTATCAAGTATTGATCCAGCATCAACTTTACTTATGAAAGAATTACCTTGGGTACCAAAAGTTAGGTAAAAAGAAAATTTTTCAAAATCATAATTTATATTTATTTATTTATTTATATAGACAAAAAGATTTAGAAGCATTTCTTGAACATACTCGAAAGAAATTTGTTGGTTTTACAATAAAAGATGATCTAACAACATTAATTGGTTTACCAAAACCTATTCATGAAAGCATTAAAATTCTTAAACAAGTAGAAATTTAATCCAATAATTCGTCTTCATAGTTTTATTTTTTCTAGCATTTATATATACCATTATCCGAAATTCAGATTAAAATTGAAGATGAAGTTGTCAAATATCCACTTTCAAAGGTAAAAAACAAAAAACAAAAAAAATGTTTATTCACGATAATGACTACTACAAGTCAAGTCGTAAATAAGCTTCGAATGAGTCAAACCATTGAGTTCTGCCGAGGATTGAAAATTGAAAGTGTCTATTCCATTTGATGAGTAGTAAAAAAATCTATTTGGATTTAGTTTTCTGATCTTCACTTGTTACATTCGATTTTTGCTCATAACTCAACAAATTAAGATCGAAAAACTAAGCCAAAACAGATTTTTTTAAAAACTACTCATCATATTCGATCAAATGATAAAAGTCATCAGACAATTATGGAACGTTTTCTCATCGAACTGAGGATGTAGCTATTTCGGCTATGTATAATTATGATCTTTACTCGTAATTGTTATTGAAACTTTTGTTTTTGTAGAAAGAAACTGATATACCTGATACTGCTGCTGAACGATTATATCGAGCAACTCTCTCACAAATTCCACAATTTCTTGTGAGTATAAAATAAGAAAAAAATATAATATTATTTAATAAATTTCTTTTATTTAGATTGCTTTACTTAAATTACTTTTAACATCAACACCAACTGCTAAACCAAAAACAGAAACAATTAATATACTTTGTGATGTTATTCCAGAAGAAATGCCATGTTCAATGGTACAAACAATGAAACTTGGATTTGATATTAATCGACATAAAGTAAAAGATTATTTTCAAAATAATTTTCTTCAAATATATTTTATAATTAAATTTCTAGGAAATGATTGTTAAATCTGTTTCAGCTATTTTATTACTTCTTTTAAAACATCTTAAAGTTAATCATATTTATCAAGTAAAACAAAAAAAAAACATATGAAAATTTTTCTATAAATTAAAAATAATATTTTTATTATTTAGTTTGAATATATCTGTCAAAATCTTGTCTTTTCAAATTGTATAACAGTTATATTAAAATTTTTCAATCATAATATTCTTTCTCATATTCAAGCAAAAAATACGTAAGAAAAAATATTTTTAGTTTTTTGTCTTTCTGATGAGTTATTCTAGAAGGAGAAAGAAATCCTTAATCAATTGATTTTTATTTTTTTTTTTCATTAGAATTCCACCTCTCGATTTTCCGGCATGTGTTATTGGTCCTCAACCAGAATTAACAGCTGATTTATTTGATCTACCAGAAACTGATAATTATTGTTGGCGTAATATGTTTTCATCAATAAATCTTCTGAGAATTTTAAATAAACTAACAAAAGGAAAACATGCAAGAACAATGGTTCGTTTTTTTTTCTTTAAAAAAAAGTTTATCTTCTTTTTCATATAAAAAAAACAATTGCAGGTTCTTGTTGCTGTTAAATCAGCTCCAATATTACGTAAAACATTACGTGTTAAACAAGCTATGATGCAATTATATGCATTAAAATTATTAAAATTACAAACACGTTATCTTGGTCGACAATGGAGAAAATCTAATATGATGGCTATATCAGCTATTTATCAACGTGTTCGACATCGTCTTAATGATGATTGGGCATATGGAAATGAACAAGAAACTCAAACATGGGATTTTCAAACAGAAGAACGAGCATTAAGAAATAAAATTGATATATTTAATCAACGTCGTTATCATCGTTTATCAATATCTCAATTAAATAATAATAATATAGTTAATGCTAGTACACAAAATGCTTCAACAAATGAATTTGATTTTGATAGTTTTATTCCATTAAATAATGATTTATTAACTGCACTTTCATCAAATACTAGTTTAGGTGATCATGATCTACCTGAATCATTTAAACGACATTATGAACAATGGCTTAATGATGAAGTATTTAATGTTGAACAACAAACAGATTGGGATGCTTTATTACAACCAAAATCAATTGTCATTTATTGAAAAAAAAACTAATAAAACTTTATTCTCTTTAAATATTTGTTTGTTTATTGAAAACCAAAAACAAAAGGAATAATAAAAATCTTAATGCATATAAAATCGATAGGATATTTTATAATACAGATTTATTTGCAAGGTTTAATTTATTATTAAATCTACTAGAGAAATAAAAAAAAGGAAAAGATTTTTTTCTGATATAAAAATAAATTTCAATTATCATAATTGTCTTCATAATACTATCACTCTCACACTACTATCTTCGTCTACTTAGATCTGACCAAAAGTTCTAAGAACATTAAAAAAAAATATAAAGATAATGACATATATTTTTAATTTAATTTTATCAAATATTGAGGATAGTTGCCATGATTATTTATACCAAGTTCGATCCTTTCGACACAATTTGTTAACAGTTTTTTTCAAAAAAATTTTTAGGTACCTTGGAAACCACATGAGTTAATTATGTTTCATTTATTTAATCAGTTAAACTACATTCGATAGAATTATTTAGCGAATATGGTGGATATAATAGTATATTGATGTCTTCTTCTGTCATGCAATTAATCACATTGGATGCGTATGAAGTCAACGATGATCGTCAAGCAATTTTGAACCTGATGTTTCTGTTTGTTTCCATATTTTATTAATAAAAGGCTTTGAAGAATTTTTAATATAATACTTTTTGACTTACAGTCTTGCCTTTATCTACACTCAGGAGTATTTGATTTAAAGAATATACCAAACAAAGCGTTGGTTAAAATCTGTATTCATGAACAATAATCTTTGACGATTTATCTTCAATAAGCCAGTTAGCATCGGATAACTTATTACTAATCTATCTAAAATAACTTTTTACAACGAATGAAATACGATTAGCTCATGTAGTTTCCAAGGTACCTAAAAATTTTTTTGAAAAAAACTGTTAAAAAATTGTGTCGAAAGGATCGAACTTGGTATAAATAATTATAGCAGCTATCCTCAACATTTGATAAAATAAAATTAAAGATACCCCCTCGTCTTTATATTTTTATTTAATATTCTTAGAACTTTTGGTCAGACCTAAGTATACAATAATGATTTCTAGACAAAAAAGAAATAATCAACATTTCTAAACTTTCTAATATTGAAAATAGTAAATATTTAATTTATCAAATAATTCAAAAGGAAAAAAAAATCAACTTTATAATTTCACAAAATTTAGTTAAATTTCAAAACTCAAATAAAATATTTTTAATATTTTTAAATAGAATAGCTTTGATTTCAAGAATATAACTGTAATTATTACATACATTTTAATTAACAAAAAAAAAAAGTTTCTTCTTAGAAAAATATTGTCATCGATATGATCTAAACCAATGTAAGTTCTTTTGATAATATCATACTTTCATCCTAGTATATTTTTCAATCTAGAAAATTCTATATGATATCCTTTGTTCTCTTCAACCCATGCTGTTACCAAAACTGCTGTGAACAAACAGAAGAAGCCTACATAGCATTGACAAATGCTGTAGTTTTTCCTAAATAATTTAAGAACAATTGCTTTCGTTCTCTACTCAAATAAAAAAAATACAACTCAACCATCTGATTTGTTCTTTGGATCTTTCAAAAAAAGTCAAAAGTTAATTATTAAAAACAAATATCAGACAATCTTTACTATAGTTTGTTACGATAGTTATGATACTCATTTTACAACAGGGTGTGGGGAAAATTCGTGAACGTGCTCGTGACCAATGTTTTTAATAGAAATTTAAAACGAGATGTACATGGAAACTTTATTTATATGAGGAAAATGTACATACATCTTGTTTCCAAAGGCAATGCACACAGACGAAGTTTCGTATACTATAAAGAAATTTAAAAAAAGCAGGATGGGATAGGTGTGAGTGTGAGTTTTAGAAGAAAAGTGTTAATTTCATTTAATAAATGTACATCGTACACTGCTTTTTGGAGAAAGTCTACAATAGTATGTATTTCAAGAACAGCAAATGTTCTGTACATTTTGCTTCTCTGTGTTTACTTGCAATTAGAAACACTACGAGACATTAAAAAGAAAAAACTTGTACTATTTTTTCTTATTCATACTGATCATGTCTAATGTAGTATAGTACGCGAAAGATCGAAATCGAAGCAGATTAGATTCGACTTGATAAAAAAAATCTTCATTCGATTTGATTCATTTCGACAGCATCAGCATTAAGATTGTATTCGCTTGAGACAACTCGAATCATTCTACAATTCAATTCAGTTTTCGCCATTCTATCATCCGGAGAGCAAATTTACCCTGCTATTGTCAAAATGAAAAATGCCAAAAATGAAAATATTGAAAAAGAAAATAATAGAGATGTCGAAAAATAGAAGTATTGAAAATGGTAGTGTATGAAAAAAGAAATCTGCTCACACTCTTACTTCCACATTTTGCTCTCTCATTTTCGATATTTTTATTTTCGACACTGTCACCTTTCAATCAAAGTAGGATTTACCAGACAGCAGTGTCAAGCGGTGAGCAACTTCTACTAAAGATAGTTAAGCATAGGTTTTTTTTCGTGTTTCATCGTGATCGTGACTAAAAATGTTGGTCATACAGGACACTAGTGAACAGTTTAGTTCAAGAAGTACCAATATTGTGCTTTTCGAGTTTCCTTTAGGACCTGCATTAATAAAAGAAAGCCAGAACTTTATAATTCAACCTGAATCTCCTGGAGGTCGGTGAAGTTCAAAAAAAAAATTATCAAAAGTCATGTGTAAGATCTTCAAAGAGGCTGGGTGTGGGTGTGGATGTGTGGGTGTGGGTGTGGGTGTGTGGGTTTGGGTGTGAGTGTGTGGGTTTGGGTGTGAGTGTGTGGGTTTGGGTGTGGGTGTGGGTGGGTGGGATGTGGTGGGTGTGGGTGTGGGTGTGTCTTCTCTTCATTCACCCACACCCACACCAGAAAAATATATATATATTGGTAAGTGTTCACATTTATAATGTAAGCAGCTCCATTGTGTTTCATGTTTTACTCTTATAGGGATTGTGCTAACAGTTTTTCTTATTTAGACTGATGTTAATATTGAGCTGATAACTAACAATAAAGATAATAATTCATAAAATGGCAAAAGAAAAATCGATGAAAGTAAACAAGACAAACGAAATAAACTTTTACTATATCTTTGTTACTATAAAACATTTGTTTGTGTATAATTTACCTGTTTTCGTATTAAGATAATATATTTATCATTGACAACTTTTAACAAAGTTTTCTATCGGTTAAATATAGTTTGTACAAGTCTCGTGGAATGGAATAAGATGAATTTCTTGTCTGATCAGATTTTCTCTTTTTATTTTCATGAAAAAATGCAAGTTATGTTTTTGTTGCACAATGAATTCCAGATACTTCATAGAAACTGTCGTGAGTATTAGGATTCATTATGCATTCATTGGTGGCTTTTTGAATACAAATAGATTGGTTCTGGACTTTTTCGTACTGTTTTTGTGGGGCTCTATGTGCTTCAGACTAGTTTGTATTCTCAATAGTCTCTGTGATGGAGCAACTCACTTGCTCTTGTTGTTTTTAATGAATGATGATGTGGATGGACGTTTAGTTGTAATGATTCGTCAAGAGATGACGAACATCTACAGCACCTACACCAATTAAATGATTTTTCTGAGAGAGAAGTTTTCAAATTTGTACAAAACTATGTGCAAAAATGAACTGATCAGACTGTTTCTCAGCATGATTTAAGTTACAATGTATTTCCTTGATCGAGTTATTCTTTTGATCATCGACATGTAACATGTTGTGCTCTATACATTGAAGATCTTTTTTTATTCAAATTAATGACAATTTAGTGAATCAGAAACGTATCGATTCCACGGACCTTGTCTAGCTCAATCCTGAAAGTGTAGAGGAGATATAGTAAAAACGAGATCATCGGATCGATTTTTAGCCGATATAACTATAGAAAAGACCATGTATACTGATTAAATTGGGCTTCGATTTCTCACTCTACAAAGCCACCAAAGTATTTCTTACCAATGGTGATCTACACAGACTTCCAGAAATTATCATATTTTCTGGAAGTGAATCTTAGTCGATATTGACAATTTATTGGATGATTGTTCACGGATCCGACTCTATTTTTTGTCTATCAATAGAATGATCCACAATCTAGTGCTCGTAATTACCAACAGAGAGAAGATTCTACCCAACTAAACAGGGCATGTTTGATCATGTAATTGAAAACACCATTTAAAAATCTCGTTGAAGTATAGGTGACATAAAGTATTTATAAAATCGACATCGAATTTTGCTGGAGTTAGTCGAGTTCTGGCTCAATCCTTCCGAATTCGGTCAAGCTGAATGGGAAATCTATCTGTCGGAATTTGGTAATTTTCTATACTTGGATCCAAGAACATCTGATAGAATGCGGTATACAAGAAGTCCTTATCATTTAGTATCAATAAATCCCATTTTTGACGCGCTTTCATTTGATATAAAATTTGTTATTGATGCTGTTTAAAATCACAACGTTACCCCCCTGGAAAAACATTTTTACGCACCCTGTACAATTAGTCGAAATTGTTCGACAACCAAATATAGTTTGTCTTAAAGCTATCTTACAATCAATTGGTTAACTAACTAAAGCAATTAACGCGTCAAGCACAACACATTTTCCTGTAAAATGACAGTTATTGCAATGATTGGCCAACAACGATTATAAATCAATACAGATTAATTAAATTTTCTTTATTGATGATAGCCTTTTTTAGAAATGTCCCATCTACCTTTTTATTTGTAGTCTATAAAATAGTAGATCTTAAAGAAATGCTTTTGATGATTGATTGAAATTGCATGTGCCATCTATGATGGTGTTCAGGATTACATACGTATGAATGATTGAATCAATATCGAAATATATATCTACAAGTGGACTTATGATGGAACTGAGCTTTCACAAACTGAAATTTTTCACGAAAATAGTTTGTCCCAGATAGTTGTTAAGAGTAACGGACTTATTCAAATCTAACTCATTGCAACGAGCTATCGTAGTTTAGTGCCACCTAAGTGTAAAACTTATTTTTCATAGAATAAGGAAATTCGGTTTCAAAAAGTACCTATTTTAAGTCATTTGTGTCATGAATGTATTTTCTGACGTTTATACTTTTATAGATGTCATACCTGGTAGTGTATTTTAATATTGATTGGCATTTCTTGCGATGATTTATACCATCAGTCATTGTGCTTTTATTATTTGCTATTACCTTTCGTTTTTTCATATAATGGAATCAAACAAAAAAAGAAAATATGTTCGAGCTATTGACAATCATGAATTTGAAAAATTTGTTCGAACGCATCTAACAAATGATCTTGGGGATATAATTCTTTTAACAATTGGAATTAGATCGTATAATGGATTTTTACAATGTCATGATTTAAATGCTGAATTACTTGATGTTTATGATTCACTTAATGAAAAAGATAAAATAAATTTATTTTTACATCATAATTCATCATCACCTTCATCAACAAATCAAGTGAAACCTGCTATTTTACGAGAGTTAAAGTTTTTTCAAGATGAAAGTCGGAAACAAATTGTCACTGATAAAAATAATGAGATTAATTCCGGTGCAGACTTATTTAACAAAAATTAATAAAAAATTTTTATTTTGAATTATTTATAGAAAATAGTAGTTCTACTCAATGTGAAAATGATCCAAAAAAATTTAAAACAAACTCAAATACTTATCAATCGATAATATTTCAGGCATGTCATCATGATATTGAAGAAAATTCAACAGTAAAATATAGAGAAGTATATTATTTGTTTTATAGTTTCGTATCTTTTGTTTCTAATCTTTTACAGAAACCTATAAACAAAGAAAATGAAGCAACAGATTGGTCTTTCGACAACGAAGAAGCAGTAGATTATGATATACAATTTAAAGATTTAACAATTCCACAAAATTTGATTGTAAAAGAAGTAACACATACATATGTAACAACACAAAAGATACATCATTTTTTCGAAAAAAATATGAAAATAAAGCCTCAAGGCAAAAATTACCATCGATTGCTTGAATATTTGAAATTGACGTATCTTTCTTTTTTTTAATAGAGATTCAAAAATTTATTTTCTTATTACAACATAGCTTAGCTTGGCATATAGAGAATCTCTACGAGTTTACAATGAAAACCAGAACAAACAATATATTGTATAATCAGTTTCTTGAAAACTTTCGAAATTATTGTTTGAAAAATGATATTGATTTAAAACAAAAAAATCAATGGCTTGTTGATTATATTAAAAAAATCAATGGCTTGTTGATTATATTAAAAAAATCAAACATGTAAGATTTCATATCCTTCAATCTCTATTCTTGTCTCATATATTTTTCTGTTATTGTAGAAACCAGAGATGTGCACCGCGCGCGCGGAGGCGGAGCGGAGTGCGGTCCGCGCCGCTCGCGCGGATCGCCCCGCCCTAATGTCAAGCATGGCGCGGTTTTTGGGCGGCCGCGCCGCCGAAAAAAATTTTTAGGGACGTTCGCTCCGCGTCCGCCTCTCTAGGTAATATGTCCGCCGGCGGCCGCCCCGCACCCGCCTCTCTGAGTAAAATTTTTTAATGATTTTATAGAATCATGGCTGTCTATGTGAATATTAATAAAAAAAACCCGCAACTTGTATGTTAGTTCAAGAATTTCTTCAAGCAAATTGTGATGCTTGATACTGTCCTTTTGTTTCTTTTTTTTGTCCAAGTTGAAAATTTCTCCTAGACTTCATCAGGAATCTTTAACAAAAAACAAGCATCAAACATTGAAAAGTAACGGAATCAGATTGAATCGTTAATAGTCATTTTGCTTGAGATACCTTTAACTTTTACCACCTCACTTTCATACTTATTGATTAAATCTAAAGATTGAATACTAAGCAATGTTCATTAAAAATTATTCCGATATTAAATTGACCTATATCTGAATTTGATGAATTTCATTCGGAAGAATATATTGGGTTGGCGGAATGAAAATTAGACTCTAGAAGAAGATATTCAAGAATATCTTAGCAACTTTTTCAGCTCAAAGCCAAAGGAGTTTTATGCTGAAGGCATTCATGCTTTGCCTACGCGTTGGCAAGCAGTAGTAGATAATGATGGCGATTATATAATTGACTAATATTATTTATTTATTAAATAAATAAATTTAAAAAAAATATTCAAGTGTCCAATTTTCATTCCACCAACCCAATAGTTTTTAAAGTTATTCTAAACTTAAATTTGTGCAACTCAAGTGTAAAATAAATTAACACGAAAAATAATGCTATATCAATACGTACATGTCTAGTTAAATCTTGTTAAACAGTACATCCTTTCATGGTCCCTTCAATTTTATGTTGTCGTTCATATTTGAATGTTAATAAGTGGCCCGTTATGTGTTGAGCAATACTATAGTGCAATAAGTTTGGAAAAAATTGGTATAATGGATTTCTCCAGTTCTTATCAGGCGGACCGCCAGGCGGCCGCCCGGCGACCGCGCCGCTCTGCACCTCGTTGAAAAAGAAAGCACAGGCGGCCGCGCCGCCTCCGCCAAAAAGCTCTCTAGCGGTGACCGCCTCTACTACGATTTTGGGACTTCCGCCTCCTTTCCGCGCCGCCTCCGCCTCGCTTTTGAGGCGCGGTGCACGTCTCTGGTAGAAACCAAGTGGATATGGTCATTGATACAAATATGAATATGTTCGACAAAAAACTAAAATAATATTTTTTTTTCTTTTTTTGTATATACAACAAATAAGTCAGAAAAATTTATGTTGGGTCTTTATATGAAACATGTTAATAAAAATGAAATGAAGTGTATTTATCGGTGATAAATTTTTCCAGATATCTTCCATTTTCATTTTTATATGCAATATAGAAAATAATAAAACTTAAGGAAATACACTTAATAATTATGTTTCGAAAGAATTTGTTATATACAGTTATATTATAAAAGGTAATATTAAGAGTAGTCATATGAAGCAGCGGTGGTCATCTCGATAGAAAGATAGAATGCGTTGTTCACTATGACACAAAGAGAACAGACGATATTATGGATAGAACAATATTCTCCCTGGATGTAGTGACATACATATATATAAATGCCTAAGCATTCGTTTTCAGATAGAAATGAATAAGATCAAAGTTAAGTTCTTTGTTTGGAAAGGAAAAAATAGTTTACTGGTATTGTTTCCGTTGTTCGTTTTTTTTTTGTTTAAATAAATATGCTATTACATTTTTATTCGGATTGGGAAGGTACGACGATTCCAATTTGTTCAGGACGACCATATCCATTAGATGTGTATTATGATGATTATGGAATTAATTTTGCATTATATTCTGAGTATGGTACTAAAGTTTATTTATCGACCTGTCTATTCGTGACGGAATCACGTTTTTAAAATGGTCATGTTTTCATCAACTTTGATTTTTTCAGAAAGTTAACTGTAATTTCCCAGAATGAACAAGTGGATAATATTTGTAAAAAAATAATTAAGAAAAAAACCTCACATCATCTTCTGATAAAGTAAAAATTATATGATGAAAGCATGAGTTTTCGCATTTTTCTGACTTTGCCAAAATAGGTGGACCGGTTCATTGACAGATCGTTATGTTTATTTCGACCAAGCCATGATGAAAAACAACAATTAATTGAATATGCTCTAATTTATATTAAAGGTAACTTTTGATTTATCTATTTAGCGCAGAACGTTTACTTTTATATAGATTATTCATTTGAAAACTTTTTTCTTTTTAGAACAAACACATCAAATCTGGCATATTTATTTATCTGATTTTGAACCAGGTCAAATCTATGCTTATAGTGTTGATGATCCATTTGATCCACAAAATGGTGATCGTTTTAATGTAATTAAACTCTTAATTGATCCATATGTACGAGCTATTACAGGGATATTAGATTGGCATGATTCATTATTTGGTTATAATATTGATGATGATCTATCACCAGATAAAGATTTAACATTCAATATTGAAGATAGTGCACCATATATACCAAAATGTGTTGTTATTGATTCAAATAGTTTTAATTGGGGTAGTGATACTCCACCAAATATTCTATTTACATGAAATAATTATTTATGAATTACATGTAAAAGGTTTTACCAAATTACATCCAGATATTCCGGAGGCAATACGTAGAACATTTTGTTACAGATCGTCATATTAAACTTCGACGTCTAAGTAATTATTGGGGTTATCATACAATTGGATTTTTTGCTCAAGATGTTCGACATTTATCAACAGAAACTTATGGAGAACAAGTTCTTGAATTTAAATGAGTAGTTAAAAAATTACATAAAGCTGGTATTAAAGTTATTCTTGATGTTACTTATAATCATACAGGTGAAGGAAATCGATTTAGGCCAACATTATCATTTAAAGGTATCGACAATAGAAGTTATTATCGTCTTTCTGAACATGACAGAAGATATTATTTTGATTATACTGGTGCTGGAAATACACTTATTTGTCGATTACCAAATGTATTAAGATTAATAATGGATAGTCTGCGATATTGGATATTAGACATGTATGTCGGTGGATTTAGGTAATTCATATTCTTTCTGAAACAACGATGTAAATGATTTGATTTTTGTTTTCATTAATTAGATTTGATTTGGCAACAATAATTGCTCATGAATTACATGCAGTTGATCGTTTAAGTGCATTTTTTGAGATAATTCATCAAGATCCAGTTATTGGAACGGAAAATATCGTGATTGTATTAGGGATTATTGGCGTGGTGAACCAAGTATGCTTTCAGAATTTGCTGAACGTTTTACTAGAAGTTCAAATTTCAATCGTGAAGAACGTTGAGGACCAACTGCATCAATTAATTTTCTAACAGCTCATGAGCGTTTTACATTAAATGATTTGGTTTCATATAATGAAAAACATAATCATAGGTATGGTGAAGATAATTTTGATGGTGAAAGTTATAATCGTTCATGGAATTGTGGTATTGAAGGTACAACAAATGATGTACATGTAAATGCATTTCGTGATTGTCAAGAACGAAATTTTTCTAACAACATTGTTTTTATCACAAGGGATTGGTTAAATTGGAATAAAGCTGATCAACATCTATTAGAATTTACACAAAAATTAATTAGTTTATAACATCAACATCCAGTTTTTCGTCGATGTACATAGTTTCATGGTCAACCAGGTAAACATGGTGAAATTGAAGATATACCTTGGTTTAAATTTGATGGTCAGCATATGAGAGAAGAAGATTGGCAACATAATTATGCAAAATCATTTGGCGTTTTTATAAATGATCATGGAATTTGTTCTCGTTCATCATTCGGTCGTCCATTTATTGATGATTGTTTCGTATATAGTATGCAATGCTTATCATGGATATTAATTATACATTACCTCCAGAAGAATATGCCAAAGATTGAACATTAATATTAGATACAGGTAAACATAAAGTTATTATTGATGGTGACGGAGGAAAAATATAGTTAGCAAGCGATACAATTATTGTGCTTGATTATTCTATTTTACTCTTACATCATGTGTATTAGAAAACGTAAATGTTTATTATAATATAATGTATATACATATATTTGTGAATTGTGCATATAGGAAAGTTTTCGAAATAAATAATAATAACTTTTGATGTATAGAAAATTAATAGTGATATTTTACTTTCATCGATGTAATTCCACAGACACGAAGGAAATCAAATTGGACGAAGGACACTTTTTTCTTCCCTAGTTCATCCTTGGATTATAATCTTGATGTTTAACAAATATCAATATATAACATGGTTATAGTTTTTATTTTTTCTTTTGCTGTATAATCAAATCTTCTGGAATGCTTACATGTGTTGCAAAGATATCCAAAGTAAATACAATATCATAACTACAGAATGTTGCTGAAGAATAGATGTAACAGAATCTCGTTATACCTCTAATCGAAGCATCTCATCTACTATATGGCTATTTTTTCTATTACTAAATATGTTGACTTATTTCTGAACTTATGAATTTGGATTTTTTGTTCAATAATTCAGGAAATATTTTTAGACAAGTGATTGTAATTCATTTGAGTTTTAAAATATATCAATTTTGTTGAGTTTCACTGATTGGCTATGTACCATCTTGATATGCAAAGATGTTTTCTATTTAGAGCAGTGAGAAGTATAAATTACTAGATAAAATCTGCGTGAAACTGATGATTGTAACGAGTGTTTTGCAAAAAAAAAATTGTTTCGCTCTTTTATGTGTTACTTTAAGAGAAAAAAATAAGATGAAATAGTGTACTCTGATCATAATGAAATAGCTGAAGTTCAAGATATATGTAATCATTTTTTTTGCTTCCGTAAAGTGTATCATAATGACTTTTAAGAAATAGACTGAAATTCATTTTGAACGAAAGACAATTGGATAAATCTTAAATTTTCTTTTCACTAAGTCAAGATTAAAACATATAATCGGTTGTACATGTAAAACTAATGATAGTACGGTTGACCGAAAAAACAACAGAAATGATATTGAAGAAAAAAAAGGAATAAAACGTAGAACCACAATAATCATACTTTTATTTGTTCGAATTGATATTAAAACGACAAATATTGCTAAATGTATTTGAATCTTATTGTTTCAAAAAGATTGCTTTATACTCATGTCTTTATGACAGCACTTGCAATGTTTTTTAAAATATCTCGAGTAGCATATTGTTCTTCGAATATGTAACAAAAAATATCTGCAACTCGTTTGCTGCTGTTAGAACTATCAGTTTCCTTGAACATCTCTTTGCTAAACGTCTTCCCTTTATTGTACAGTGCTATCCAACACACGTTGTTGTTTGTCATAATAAATGATGAAGTAAGATAAATAAAGTATATATCTGTTTTGAGTTTTTATATCGACAGACACACGTACAAGAAAAAAAGAAGAAAACACAACAAAACTCAACATACATAGAGAGAAAAAGATAAAGCATTACATATTGAAGAGAGAGAGAGAGAGAGAAAATACTGGCATTAAACATTTAATTTTAGCTAAGCTTGACTTGTTTGGCTGGTGCTTTCTTTGTCGACCAGCATTCGAATATCTTGTGTTTCATTAGGAGTAGATTCTTACTGTCTCTGTTGTTATTCAGTATTATTGTTAGCAAGATCAACTGTTTTATCATCTATAGTTTGTGAAGCAGACGTTGGAGCTGTTGTTGGTGTTGGCATCTATTTATGAACACCCATTGATATTTCATGAATGACTGCCCAATATTTTTCCCATTTTCATACAGCTTGTAAGGTATAAGAATATTGAAGAGCTTGTTTAGGATCAGGATCATTAGAATGTTGACTGTGATGTATTTTACCTCCGTAAATACCGCCGCTATAACGAATCGACGATCCAGATGATGACCAGCCACGGGCTTCACTCCGAAGAAGAGGTACGATCATTTGATCTACGAATAAATGATATTATTTCTTTTCATTCCTGTTAAAAATACTCTTGTCGTAAAAATGTAGACATTTTTCTGTCAAAACAACATACTGAGTTGAAATTGATAGCTAGAAGTTGTTGACGAATAATAAAAAGACTACACAAAAGGGTGTGGGTGTTGATGTGAGTGGTCTCTTTACCCAGACCCAACAAATGATTCGATAGAATAGTATGATATATCGTTCACACGAAATTTTTAGACTCCTCGATTATAGCATCGAATGCTCAATTTTGTCCAGTTGATGATGCTGTACTTGATCGTTTCTACGACCAAATATTACCTCAAATATATCAGCACTTGAAAGTACTTGTTTTTGAACAAATATGTATGAAACGCATTCTTCTCGCTTGCCAATATCCTAACCTTCGTATAATCAATATTATAAATTATCGGCTAGACATTTATTTCTCAATATTAAACAAGTATATAATGCTCTTTGATGATATACATTTTTCGATAAAAATCCATTGCATGATACGAATATTTTTAGAAGAATCATCGATTGCTCGCTTATTTCGTAAACAAATCACACACATTATTATTACGACTAGAAAAAAAAGGAAGCGTCTAATGAATCATTTACACGTGGATGTGCGCATATTTTTTACTATATGTAAAAAGTAAATTTTTTTCGACATGAGTCGATTTACCTCAAATGGCAATACCCAACTCTTACTTTATCATCGGCTTCGAAATGCTTGTTTCTCTTTACATTTGCGAACCTTATTTGTTAATGTAGTAACTTTTGATGATTGTCTTTGTTTACTTGATGGTCGTCTCAGTAATTATCATTATTCGCTTTTATCAAAAGATCATCGACAATTACTGACAACAAGGTAAGGAAACTTAATCTAAGGTTTATTCTAGCTGAAGACAATAATGATGAATCTTTCTGTAGAATGTATTACCAAATCTAACTGAATTTTCTTTGTTCTGTTATCCACTTATAAATGCTTATGATTGTCGCATAGTGCCATTTCGTCGTCGTATGTCAAATTTGAAAGATCTTACTCTAAACCTTAATATAATTATTTACATTTCATATCTGTACATTTATTTCTACTTCTAATACAGTCCTTCATTGATGGAAAATATTCTTCAATATCTTGCTGTGTTGATTATTTCTCAAATGAAATTGATCTTTGTCATATTTATTTCAAACCGGTCAAAATAACTCGTTTTATGTATGTTACGAATAGCTTCCGTGGTAGCCATTTTCAATTTATTACGGATTTAAAATTGTACGATACACTTTCATTTGAACATGGGTTCTTCTAGTGAACTACTCGAGTATTTCTATTACTTAAAAAATTAACAACATTTAATTTGATACCATAAGAAAATAAACGTCAAATTTCTTCAATTATTAAATATTTACATTTGAATAAATTCAATCTTATTAATGCATACATTGATTATGCTAATGAATTTCTATGTCATATGAATAATGCATATCTTGCTTGTCTTACTACATTAATGATGCAATATGAACAATTAACAACTGTGACAAACAATTTCACAAATGATCTTCTACAAGTGAACTGGCAACAAGTGAAACGATTAGAGAATGATGAATTGACTATATATATCCGAGAGATTTCTATCTATATTTTTCATCTCTTTCAAAATAGTTTTGTTAAATTCATTTTTCTCTCAGACAAAAAGAAAAGTAGTTGTACAATTGAAATTTTAAATATTCTTTATACATTTAATGATAAAGGATGCCTAATAAGTTTTGATTCCCTCAAATAATATCCTGTTTCTACAGAGCCATTTGCAAAAATATTATTTCGTTCTCGAGATATTGGCATTATCGTCAGAAAAGCATATTTTTTTTTGCGTTTTTTGTTTGTATCATTTATATCTCCTCAAGAATATATCCGTTGGATTGAAATTTTCACTGTAACTACATCCCAGATGAAGGTGCTTCTCATAAGAAAATGAGCTCAAATAGATAAACTGTGGATGAGTTGAGTAATACTGGCAAGTACATGGTAAAATTGTCATATTTTGGTATCTTGTGCATAGACATATCTCATTAATGGATCATGCTATAGAGCTGAAATATCAGGCACATTGAGATCGTATTGAGTATTTACTCTGATAAAAAAAACTCAGGGGTGTAGGAGGGTGTGAGTGTGAGCGATGTATGGATTTGAGATATGGGTGCCATCTTTTCTTCGCCCACACCCTTCTCATAAGAAGATTTTAAAGAAAATTAAAGAATTTTAGAATGCATTGCTATTTTCATTTTCTAGATATACGTGTGAGTTTTAACTATAATCTGTAAGATATCGATTTTTCAGATCGTACATAAAACTTTGCTTATTATTCAAATCAGAGTTTTCATCATCTTCTTTTAAGTTACGAACCTACTTAGGTAGTACAAAAAGTTCTAAGAACATTAAATAAAAATATAAAGATAAGGAGATATTTTCAATTTTATTTTATCAAATGTTGAGGATAGTTGCCATGATTATTTATATCAAGGTCAATCCTTTCGACACAATTTGTTAACAGGTTTTTTCAAAAAAATTTTTAGGTACCTTGGAAACCCCATGAGTTAATTATGTTTCATTTATTTAATCAGTTAAACTATATTCGATAGAATTACTTAGCGAATATGGTGGATATAATAGTATATTGATGTCTTCTTCTGTCATGCAATTAATCACATTGGATGCGTATGAAGTCAACGATGATCGTCAAGCAATTTTGAACCTGATGTTTCTGTTTGTTTCCATATTTTATTAATAAAAGGCTTTGAAGAATTTTTAATATAATACTTGTGACTTACAGTCTTGCCTTTATCTACACTCAGGAGTATTTGATTTAAAGAATATACCAAACAAAGCATTGGTTAAAATCTGTATTCATGAACAATAATCTTTGACGATTTATCTTCAATAAGCCAGTTAGCATCGGATAACTTATTACTAATCTATCTAAAATAACTTTTTACAACGAATGAAATACGATTAGCTCATGTAGTTTCCAAGGTACCTAAAATTTTTTTTGAAAAAAACTGTTAAAAAATTGTGTCGAAAGGATCGAACTTGGTATAAATAATTATAGCAGCTATCCTCAACATTTGATAAAATAAAATTAAAGATACCCCCTCGTCTTTATATTTTTATTTAATATTCTTAGAACTTTTGGTCAGACCTAAGTATACAATAATGATTTCTAGACAAAAAAGAAATAATCAACATTTCTAAACTTTCTAATATTGAAAATAGTAAATATTTAATTTATCAAATAATTCAAAAGGAAAAAAAAATCAACTTTATAATTTCACAAAATTTAGTTAAATTTCAAAACTCAAATAAAATATTTTTAAATAGAATAGCTTTGATTTCAAGAATATAACTGTCATTATTACATACATTTTAATTAACAAAAAAAAAAAGTTTCTTCTTAGAAAAATATTGTCATCGATATGATCTAAACCAATGTAAGTTCTTTTGATAATATCATACTTTCATCCTAGTATATTTTTCAATCTAGAAAATTCTATATGATATCCTTTGTTCTCTTCAACCCATGCTGATACCAAAACTGCTGTGAACAAGTAGAAGAAGCCTACATAGCATTGACAAATGCTGTAGTTTTTCCTAAATAATTTAAGAACAATTGCTTTCGTTCTCTACTCAAATAAAAAAAACACAACTCAACCATCTGATTTGTTCTTTGGATCTTTCAAAAAAAGTCAAAAGTTAATTATTAAAAACAAATATCAGACAATCTTTACTATAGTTTGTTACGATAGTTATGATACTCATTTTACAACAGGGTGTGGGGAAAATTCGTGAACGTGCTCGTGACCAATGTTTTTAATAGAAATTTAAAACGAGATGTACATGGAAACTTTATTTATATGAGTAAAATGTACATACATCTTGTTTCCAAAGGCAATGTACACAGACGAAGTTTCGTATACTATAAAGAAATTTAAAAAAAGCAGGATGGGATAGATGTGAGTGTGAGTTTTAGAAGAAAAGTGTTAATTTCATTTAATAAATATACATCGTACACTGCTTTTTGGAGAAAGTCTACAGTAGTATGTATTTCAAGAATAGCAAATGTTCTGTACATTTTGCTTCTCTGTGTTTACTTGCAATTAGAAACACTACGAGACATTAAAAAGAAAAAACTTCTACTATTTTTTCTTATTCATACTGATCATGTCTAATGTAGTATAGTACACGAAAGATCGAAACAGATCAGATTCGACTTGGTAAAAAAAAAATCTTCATTCGATTTGATTCATTTCGACAGCATCAGCATTAAGATTGTATTCGCCTGAGGCAACTCGAATCATTCGACAATTCAATTCAGTTTTCGCCATTCTATCATCCGGAGAGCAAATTTACCCTGCTATTGACAAAATGAAAAATGCCAAAAATGAAAATATTGAAAAAGAAAATAATAGAGATGTCGAAAAATAGAAGTATTGAAAATGGTAGTGTATGAAAAAAGAAATCTGCTCACACTCTTACTTCCACATTTTGATCTCTCATTTTCGATATTTTTATTTTCGACACTGTCACCTTTCGATCAAAGTAGGATTCACCAGACAGCAGTGTCAAGCGGTGAGCAATCTTTCCTAAAGATAGTTAAGCATAGGTTTTTTTTCGTGTTTCATCGTGATCGTGACCAAAGATGTTGGTCATACAGGACACTAGTGAACAGTTTAGTTCAAGAAGTACCAATATTGTGCTTTTCGAGTTTCCTTTAGGGCCTGCATTGATAAAGGAAAACCAGAACTTTATAATTCAACCTGAATCTCATGGATGTCGGCGGAATTCAAAAGAAAATGATCAAAAGTCGTGTGTAAAATCTCCAAAGAGAGAACTTTTTCTACTCCTTTGTAAGTGCTAAGAACAAATGTTGCTCTACCATTCAATATGAAAAATGGTCACAATGAATACAAGGTATCATTCTGAATTGAAGTTTCTATTGTACATCGTTGCCTTAATCTGTATGCACCATATGTGTATTCCCAGCGTGTTTTGTTTTTCTTTCGTTCTACGGAAGAAACCATCGTCAAAGCTTGCATTCTTGACTCTTGTTATCTTGGCCTTGCGAAAGCAAATATAAATATCCTAAACCCATTGCTATACGAAGAATAAAAACACTCTTTCATTCATTACTTCATTTACCAGAAGCAAATCATGACATCCATTCTGTATGCTTGTCTCTTGTTATTATTTGTGATCACTGTTGAAGGGCAAAGTAAGATAATTTTGAAGATCGAATTTTATCAATTGAACAGTTTTTATTTTACTGAGCAGCACCAGTATGTGACATGAACGAGAAGTACGAGAGTTGTGGTCCACCCTGTATCGAAAATTGTGCCTCCAAAACCGAATCCTGTACCATGGCATGCAAAAGTGGCTGCTTCTGTAAGAATGGATACGTTCGTCAGTCTCGTACACCTGGAAGTCCTTGCATCAAACGAGAAGCCTGCAAAAAACAGAATAATACCCATCTCTGTGGCGCGTACGCAGAATTCAAGACTTGTGGTTCAGCGTGTGTTGAAACTTGTGACTACAAGCCTCAGATATGCACAGAGCAGTGTGTCGCCGGTTGTTTCTGCAGCGATCCCAGCTACGTTCGACGAGACAAGAGTATTGGCAGTCCATGCATTAGACGCGAGCGATGTCCGAAATAAAGTATAATCATTTTTTGAGAAAGGCATATTCAACTTTTGTGGAAGTTTAATTTGAAGAAAATAAACAAAGTAATTGTCACAATCTATAATACGTTACTATTTTAGCCATGCGAATTTAAAGTTTAAACATTATTTATCTGTGAAACAAAGATGGTGAGATTTTAGCGAGAGCGGCCAGAAGATGTAAAACATCGAGTTCTTTCTGCATGGTCGCTTGCTATATGTGATGCTATGTCCAAGTTCCTCATATTTTAGTAACAAATTCTTCATGTTTTCTTTCATAGGTTATTTCGGATTTTTTCTTATAGTTGACTCTAAGATGACTATCGATACGACGCTCGAGGAACAAATGAAGAAAAATTAAAAACTATCTCAGTTAGTCATCATAAAATGCCAACAAAATGGATGATTTGCAAATGTTAACTTTGTTGAAAGTGGAAGATGCAATTGATCTTGTAGATCAGGTTGTTCATTCTCAGTGCTATTGCAGTGTGCGAGAAGTAACACTAAGTATCTTTCACGTTCAAAATGTGTATATATTCGATTTCATGCTTCTTTTATTCATATATTTGAGTGCTGAGGGTGAGAGTGAAGATGGAGTGAGCACAAAATAGTTGTCATGATGCGTTTCGACTTGGCTAATAATCTCATCAGATGACTTTAGTGATCTCTACATAAAATGTGTTTATTATTGGTGAAAATTAGTTGTTATGCATAGTTCGATTTAAAAAAAAAGATATGAGTATGAGAAGAAAATGATTGTCTAGTTTTTATATTATGTGTGTATAGTTTAGCAAAATTCGGTTAGTGTTTTTCTTGCTGTCGAGGTAGGTTGTCTGTTGTAAAGTGTTTGATATAAAACGAGTAACAGAATTGTACAATCAAAGATGTCATTCTACTCAATATTCATCGCCTGCTCTAATGCAATAGATTTACTCTTGTTTTGTATTGTTTTTGTTTATCTATGTTTCATCAACGGAGTCAGTTGTTACTGAACGAACTGATTCTGTGCAATTGCTGGTACTGTAAGAAAACAAAACAAATATATTTACTAGTGGTTGCTTTTCTTTTTCAATGTGATTCCCATTCTTCTATTTGTTTTAATTCCTTGAAGTTTCATGGTTGTTGTTCTTCAACTTTCAATTCAATTTGTTTCGCCTGTTCCAATTGCTCTATTGTTTCGAATTATCTTAAGTATTCTTGTCTCTCTTTGTCTAGCTATTCTACAAGTTCGATTTGTTTTATCTGCTTGTAGCTGATCAATTTGTTTAGGAATCGATGTTGATATTTCGCCAAGTCATCTCCAGTATCTGCAAGATATCGACGTGCAGCTAAATAGATGATATGTATTTCCTTTAGTTTCATGAAAAATTACTCGATAGACAGATTTAAACAGAGTGAGTGTGGATTGACATGACAAAAACACGTGCATCTACACTCGCATTAAATTTAGTTCTTTCGGAATCTAATTAAAGAAGTTCAGATTTCTTGAGAATGTGAATTTAGGATGTGCTTCACCGTCTAGAAGTTAAAACCATCTTTGTTGGGAGAGTTAATGTTAACAGTGTATACAGCGATCAATTTTTTCTTGAGCTTTCTAAAGAGTATAATAATGCTGTCGTCACTACTTTTGGTATTTACGCTATAGCATAAATAATTGAAGGATTGCTATCTCTGGTTTACAATATTAATTCTCTTCCATTGAATTTATCAAATAGCAATAGATATAATTCAAAGACAAAACAATGTTCGTTTATTTATGACTGCTGCGAGGCCCGCTGATCCATTTTTCTAGCGTTGCTTTTGAGCCTTCTTCATAGAGAAGCTTCACAGCATTCTGTACTGTTTCGGCAAATCGTTGATCGTTAGCCAAATCACCGAAGACTTGTCTTACACTTAACATTTCAATTGCACTGGGTCTTGTTTCACTGGCTAACTCGTGTAATTTGAGTTCAGTTGCCAAAACATCTGACAGTATGATTGGCCTATTGCTTTCATCCTTTCCACCAAGATATCGAATCCAAGAACCGATGGCCAATGCACACATGTATGGAATAACTCCTCGTTTAAGCTGTTCGACAATGGTTGGTACGAGATATTTCGGAAATTTGGATGCTCCGTCCATGCACACTCTCGATAATGTATCTTTCATATGTGGATTTGAGAAGCGTTGGATAAGTGTACGTTTGTACGCATCGAGATCAACGTTTGGTACTGCAGGTAAAACGGGTGTAACTTCATCATTCATTAAATGTTCGATGTATGATTGAATATGCTTGTCTAGAATGGTCTCATGAATATATGTATAACCCATCAAATAACCAAGATAGCACATGGCTGTATGAGATGCATTGAGAAGACGCATTTTCATACATTCGTACGCTTCAACGTGTTCGGTTAGAAGAACATTGTAAGGCGCATTCGAAAGCAATTCAAGTGGAGGATGTCCATTACAAAATGAATCTTCGATAACCCATTGCATAAATGGTTCTGTTACTACAGGCCATCCATCCGCAATGCCACAGTGCAAATGAACATACTGACGATCGGTATCGGACGTGGCAGGTGTGATTCGATCGACTGAAATATTCAAAAATGTATCAATATGAAAACAACTGTTCTCTCTTTTTGATCAATTCAACCTACCCATAGAATTCGGAAATGTTACTTTAGTTTGAATGTAATCAAGCAGTTCGATATTGTTGAGTGCTTTAGCAAATTTGAGAATACATCGTTTTATAACTTCACCATTCTGTTGAACATTGTCACACGAGAGAACAGTAAATGGAGCTGTGTTTGCTCGACGACGACCATCCAATGCATGCACAATGAAACCGAATACTGTTCTAGGTGCTTGTGGATGATGCAAATCATGTTGAATATCAACATTCTTCAGGTCTAAATCATAGCCACTTACGGTAATTGTCATGGAAACAATTTTCGTGTGGGGATGCATAAGTACGGCTAACGCCCCCTCTGGTGCATCTGGCGCAAAAATGTAACGAATGAGAGAACCGATAATTCGAACATCAACATCTGTTTCATTGCAACCTTTGGATATCAATGTATACATACCATCTTGTGCCTGAAGTACCGTACTAATAGGTTTATCAACTGAACGAACTCCAACGCCGATAATGCCCCATTCAGTTTGATCGTGTTCATTTGCTAAGACATCCATGTAATATGCCAGATGTGAACGATGAAAGTTGCCTACACTCAAATGTACTATGCCATGTTTGAGTTGACTACGATTGTAAGTAGGTAAATGAGTATGAACTGAATCACATTTGAACTTGTCCACAATGAGACGGGCTAGAGCATTGTCAGCGGCCATTACTACCAAGAGTAAATGACAACAATGAAAAAGCGCTGATACACTGATATGTTTATCTCGAAAAAAAGTGAATTATTTGCACAGGCACGATGTCGATGGTTATCTCTTCTATATACTTGGGTTTTTATAAACATAGAATCAACCACGATCTTCATAAACTTTGACAAATGATATTGTGCATCAACGTCGAGTGGACACCCGTATATTTGAGTCTATTTTTTATGATATTCGGATCGTAGATCTATTGATGCAGATAGAGCCAAGCGATAAATTTGGTCTGGGAAAAACAAAATGCAGTGTTATTTATAAGCTGAACTATGTCACTCTAATTCATTTTTGATCTATTTTGTAGTCGATTCTTGCTAATTAAAATTAAACTTTTCGCGATGAGTTTTTCCATGAGTAATATACTTCAAATCTGTCGATGAGAGCAGAGGTATGGCGGGTGTGTGAGTGCGAGTGTAGATAAAGAGAAGACCCACACTCGTAAATCCACACACTCACACCCACACCCTGTATAGCCAATGAGTAGATTTCTGTATTGGATCTATAAGGTTGTTCATTAATTGTCGAATGTAGAACAAAATCATTATCTAGTAAATATTCTCAATAAATTTGTTTACTTTTTCAAAATTCTTCAATGGGTAGCAGATCGTCATTTCTTCTGATTGCTGCCCAGCAGTCTGTAGGTTTCTGGTAGTTTCATAGATAGAAGAGAATTTTATCGCTTGTATTTTGACTGGGATTGATAAGTGTTAGTAAGAGAATATTGCTGTCAAACAGTACAACTGAGAATATCTCTATTTTTATTGAAATTTATTTGATATTAATTAAACAAAATCAAAAATAAGTTTTGCGTTCGTCGACGACATGCTGGCTCGTCCGATTTTCTGGACGCCATTCCGCTTCGTTGTCTTCAAAAGAATCCAAGTCTTGACCCTTCGATTCAGGCAATAGAAATATGGTGGCAATAAGGCCGATAAATTGAATACCAGCAAAAATACCAAGTGTCTGCGGCAGAAATGCATTCTTACCTCCATGATCAACTAGTACATTGAAAGCGAATGCTGCGAGAATCGCACCTGCCTTCCCACACGCTGCTGAAAGGCCGTGAGCTGTGGAGCGAAATCGTGTTGGAAACACTTCAGCCGGAATAATGAATGTCGTGGCGTTGGCACCAAACTGAAAGAAAAATTGAATGAGGACAAACATGACAACAAATGCTACTATAGACCGATCTTTCAGCGGATGAAATGCTGCAGCAACAATGATAAATAGAATCGTTTCCATAGTGAAACCAATTATTTGAATAGTCTTACGACCAAGACATTCGACGGTGAATACAGTAACATAGTAGCCAGGGATAGCGCCGAGAAGTGAAATAATCAAATTGCCAAGTGCTTGTTTAAATAGAGTTTCCCAAGGTGATGCTTTAGTTGTATCCGGGGCGAAGCCGATAGCCGATATTACAATTGATTGATTGAGTGAAAGACCATAGAATGCAATATCGAGTAAGAACCAGGTTGAACATGTGCCAATGAGAACTTTCAAGTTGCGCCACTGTGAAAAGTAAATTCGAAAATCTCGAAAATGATGTCGATCATCGGTGACGTTTTTCGTTTGGACTAAAGATTCACGTGGGACTGAGTGTGTAGAAATTTGTGGGTGTACTCCTAATGCGTATGCTTTACCTATTTCAGTTAGCTCCAAATCCTTGAGAACTCGTTCGGCATAGCGAGGTGACTCCGGTAGATGAAAACGTGAATAGAGAGTACATACAGCAGGCACAATCCCAAGAGCAAGCAGAATCCGCCAGACATAGTCGATATTGATTTGATTAGCTTCGATAGGTCTCTTAAAAATAGCCAACAATATAATAGCGAATAGCGCACCGAAAAATTGACCCCAACCTTGCATAGAAAAAGTTAATGCAAGCATTTGTCCACGTCGTCCTGCGCTTGACCATTCACTGGACACAGTAGCTGACATGGGATAATCACCACCAATCCCGATGCCCAATACGAGACGCCAAAATCCAAGAAAACCCAAGGTACCGACGCCTGTTGCCGCCGATCCCGCCATTGCTGAGCAAACTGTAGCCATAATGATAATTAGAAGTTCAATACCGTAAACACTTTTACGACCTTTACTATCGCTCAAATAACCGAATACTAGCTGACCAATAAGATTACCTACATTTGTAATACCCTTGATAATGCCTTGAATGTTTGATGGCACTGTATTGTTTTGATCCATGTAGTAGACATAGCCGAGCATGGGAACAGCCAAGTTGATTACAAAGATATCATAAGCATCCATGAAGAAACCTGTTGAAGAAACAATAACTGTACGAATTTGTTGTCCAGTGATTTTGCCTCTAGATCGATCATGTTGTTCGGAATTATTTTCCGTGGTCGATCCTTCCAATGGCCCCGTCAAAGTAGGAATTTCATCGTTAACCATACAGTACACGTTTTGTTTGTTCACTTAGCAAGATCTAAATATTGAACTTATATTAATACGAAATTAGACGCAGCTCTATATAGTACTAAATGACGCAAAAGTTAGGCAGAGAGCATGAGTATGAATGAATAAACAATATCGTTAAAGTGCTGTGAAAGGCAAAATTAGTATGTTTCATCATTAATATTATTTTTCATTCATGCCCATTTTCTTTCAATATGCCAATGATGAATCAATATAACTTTTTGCTATGTGAATGAGTTACATTTTTTTCTTTCTGTAATTGATTTTTTTGATCGTATCATATGTTAATGTATATGTATATATTCATAATGATCACGTGAATGTGCATATATAGGAGGTAAAGAAAAACAGACGCTTGCTTGTCAATTGCGCACATGATACAGTGATCAGATCTATTATAAAGTAGACCATCAAGAAGCAAAGAAAAAATTATGTTGCTTTGAGTGAATCATGTAGAACAAATGTTGATATTATTAGCTTGAATAGTAGAGTTAATTATGGAAGAAAACAAGGTCAATCAAGAACTTTTTTTTGCCTTTAACATCACACAAATTTCTCTTAATTTCTTGACCTATTGGAAGATTTAAGATTTTCAACAAGTTTGCTGTCAACAACTCAGCACGAGGTCTTCTGTTGTGACTTCAAATAGTTGTTTTTTTATCAAAGACTCTCCTCCTACCGACGTACAGAAAAACGACTGAAACCTTTTATACACATCTCGTTTCAAATAGTCATGGTTTGGTTACCATACATCAAATAATCAATAACAAGAAAAAAAAACACATCAGCGTCACATTTGTGACTACTCAGGTCGACGAATACAGAGTCCGTATACAGTCTTCATTTTGCTTCGTATTTCTCCGTATATAGTCAAGGAAACAATACGGAGAAATACAGTCGTTTACGAGCGCGCTTTTTTGACCTGGGTAGAGATGAAATCGGTTCGTGCTATTTTTGAAATTGAGTCGAGCCGAATCGAATTATGCCTAGTTAAAAACTCTCATAATTGACTATTACATTGTTACGATAATAGTCTTAAACTGTTTGAACGAAGGGATTGTTTTTGTACTAGATTGAAAATAATATTTTGCCAGCGGGAGGGGGGGGGGCATAGTAGACAGAAAAAAAGGGACAGGAGTAATTCCCAGATACTGGATAGCTTTTGAGTCGAGACTATGTGCATTATGTAGGCTCTAGTGAGCTATGAATACCAGGAAAAAATTTCATGCTTCTAGCTTATTTCTGTCAAAATATTTGATTTTTACGGCATCTTTTATCACAACGCCATGATCCCCTCAGATTTACGTGAAAAATCAACTTTTGAATTTCTGCTTGAAACTTTGTGCAGAGAAAGGTCTCAATGAGACTAGTTTTTGCTGAAAGTTTCAGATTTTTATGTTCCTTCTATTCCGAGATACGAGTGTAAGAAAAAATACTCTTCTTCATATTACTTATAGCACAAAATATTAAATGTTCATATTTAGGGATAGGAGCAACCAAGAAATTTGAAACTTTCAGAATAAACTAGTCGAATTAAGACTTTTCTCTGCACAAAGTTTCAAGTTGAAATTCGAAAGTTGATTTTTCAGGTAAACCTTAGGAGGCACCACGGCGTTGTGGCACAAGATACTGTAAAAAATCAAATATTTCGACAGGAGCTTTAAGTATGCATCTTTGCGCATTCATTGAAGATAGATGATGATATGCTCTACCAAATAACATACTAAAATTTGAATCTAAACTCCTGCAAACGAACTGCATTATGGATCGGTGGCTGTTTTTTACTATGCTGATGTGAAGTTTTTGATCTTATTATAGTCTTAAAAACTTTAAGAAGCCCGAAAATTAATGATATTCACCTATTTTACGTACTTTGAGGTACTTGCTATTTAGTACATAGTCGCTGTAGACCAGTATCCAAGATGCACTTAAATGCAGGACCATAGTGGCTTCAATGTTAGCTACGGTATAGGTTCGAATCTTGAAAATCGATCTTGTCGCCTGGCTGTTCACTGTGCTCCCCATCCCCTACAGATTGTAAAAAACATGTTAGTATTGCCGTTCCTTCTTGGCAGATTATGACCCACACCCTCAAGGAAACTGAAGTCAACTGCAAAAACATCTTTCACTATCGGCATGCATTGATATTAGGTAGCAGTTGGTCACCAAATATATATATTGGTAAGTGTTCACATTTATAATGTAAGCAGCTCCATTGTGTTTCATGTTTTACTCTTATAGGGATTGTGCTAACAGGTTTTCTTATTTAGATTGATGTTAATATTGAGTTGATAACTAACAATAAAGATAATAATTCATAAAATGGCAAAAGAAAAATCGATGAAAGTAAACAAGACAAACGAAATAAACTTTTACTATATCTTTGTTACTATAAAACATTTGTTTGTGTATAATTTACCTGTTTTCGTATTAAGATAATATATTTATCATTGACAACTTTTAACAAAGTTTTCTATCGGTTAAATATAGTTTGTACAAATATCGTGAGATGGAATAAGACGAATTTCTTGTCTGATCAGATTTTCTCTTTTTATTTTCATGAAAAAATGCAAGTTATGTTTTTGTTGCACAATGAGTTCCAGATATTTCATAGAAATTGTCGTGAGTATTAGGATTCATTATGCATTCATTGGTGGCTTTTTGAATACAAATAGATTAGTTCTTGACTTTTTCGTATTGTTTTTGTGGGGTTCTATGTGCTTCAGACTAGTTTATATTTTTAATAGTCTCTGCAATGGAGCAACTCGCTTGCTCTTGTCGATTTTAATGAATGAGGATGTGGATAGACGTTTCATTGTAATGATTCGTCAAGAGGTGGCGAACATCTACATCACCTACACCAATTAAATGATTTTTCTGAGACTGAAGTTTTCAAATTTGCACAAAACTATGTGCAAAAATGAACTGATCAGACTGATTCTCAGCATGATTTAAGTTACAATGTATCGATTCTGCAGATCTTGCCTAGCTCAATCCTAAAAATGTAGAAGAGATAGAGTAAAAACGGCATCATCGGATCGATTTTTAGCCGATATGACTATAGAAAAGACCATGTATACTGATTAAATTGGGCTTCAATTTCTCACTCTGCAAAGCCACCAAAGTATTTCTTACCAATGGTGATCTACATCGACTTCCAGGAATTATCTCATTTTCTGGAAGTGAATCTTAGTCGATATTGACAATTTATTGGATGATTGTCCATGGATCCGACTCTATTTTTTGTCTATCAATAGAATGCGCCACAACCCAATGCTAGTAATTACCAATAGAGAGGATCCTACCCTACTAAACAGGGCATGTTTGATCATGCAATTGAAAACACCATTTAAAAATTCCATTGAGGTACAGGTGACATAAAGTATTTATAAAATCGACATCGAATTTTGCTGGAGTTAGTCGAGTTTCCGCTCAGTGTTCTCAAATTCGGTCAAGCTGAATGGGAAATCTATCTGTCCAAATTTCGTAATTTTCTATGACCGGGTCCGAGAACATCTGATAGAATGCAGCATACAAGATATGTGATTTGATTGAATGATGCCGGATTATTCTGCGAGAAGAGTGTGAGTGAAGAGTCGATGGATGCCTACACCCACATTGGATCGAAGATAAAACGAACACACATGGATGAATATGTCCTCAAAGATAATTTCTCGTCATGTTCTATTGTCTCAATATTGACATGACACGACCAAGTATTAAGTAGATTGTATGAACCATGGACGATATCACGCCTATTCACTTGAGTAAAATAGTATCTTGTCGACCAACTACAGGTCAATAGATAATATTTTCGCCATTTTGATTAATTTATCATTCTAATAAGCAGTGTATAAAGTAGATAGGAATAAGGAGTTCTTTGGTGAGTCACATAGCTCTTCGACTATGTAGTTAGATTCAACATCTCAAGATACATTGATATGTTGTCGAGAGAAGATCAATTCTGAGGAGAGTTACATCTATTCCAAAGCTGGGTTTTCGTTTTTTGTCGAAAGATATTATTACAGGTATGAGTGGTCTCACCACTTGTGTAACGTATCATAGCCATCGAGTATTTTCATATGAGAGAAGTATGCATGAGAACCAGCAGGTGTCCATCATTACTCTCTCTCAAAAGTACGATTTGTTTTATTCTTTTTGTTAGAATAATAATGGGTCTCTCTCTGTTTATCATAGCTCTTCTTAGCAGCACTACTTATGCAGTCATATATCGACCTGTAGTATTGATGCATGGTGTTTTGGCAACAGCTGATGACATGAATGAGCTCGGTGGTTGGCTTACCGCATCATTTCCGGGTATCTACGTTATTTCGATCGAGATTGGTAATGGATACGATGATTCTTTTTTATTACCAATGAACAAACAAGTAGAACTTTTTTGTACCGCTGTTCTTGCGGATGATCATCTGCGTCAAGGCTTCAACATGCTTGGCATTTCACAAGGTAGTTTGATTGTGAGAGCAGCCGTCGAACAATGTTCACTGCCTGTCTACAATTTGATTACCAGGGTTGGTGTCCATCAAGGTATCTTTGGTGATACTTCTCTTAAATTACTTCCTCGTCAATTTTGGGAATTACTTTCAAAATATGCATATGAAGAGTCTGTCCAAAATGCGATTAGTATTGCTGGTTTCTGGCGTGATCCTTTTCAATTGGAGAAATACATAAATCGAAGTCATTTTCTTCCTGACATTAATAATGAACGTGAAGTGCGCAATGAAACCTATCGTACGAATATGCTCAAGCTCAATGCATTTGTTATGACCTATTCAGATATAGATGAAGTTGTAACGCCACCACAATCAGGTTGGTTTCTGGGCTATGCATCACAATCGTTGAAACCTGAAACATGGAATCAGTCGTGTCAATTCACAGAAGATCTCATAGGAATGCGAACATTGCGTGACCAAAGCAAATTGCACTTGTTCATTGGTCATACACGTCATGAAGATTCT